AATGCGTAATGTATTTCCCCTCTCACACACACACACACACACACACACACACACACACATGTTCAGTGCTGAGTGTGCGGTGTGACAGAATGCCTTAATTATGGATTAATTGTGTCATTAGCAGGTTTCTGCTGTTGCCACCACATTGGGCCTGTCAAGGTTAATTACTGGAACATGTTTATTTGCTGTCAGCCGCTGCCGCAAGCTGTCACTTGCATGGAAACACAGACAAACACACACAGACGCTGCTCACTCACACACTCCACAGGGCACCTCGTGTCCCCGAAGCTCTGCAACGTTCTCTGCTGCTGCACACTTTGTACAAAACTCTGTCAGCCACCTGCAAAACAAACACGCCTCCATTCAGAAGTATTTGTCCCCAGTCACAGAAAGAAGGGGTGGATCGATGTGAGTTTATCAATGGTTGATGCTGTTTGGAAATCAGGGCCATATTTCACATACAGTATATGTAATGCTGAAAAAAGCTACATTAAATAATACCAACAAATGCAAAATTGCTGAATTGAAATGAGTAATTATTTAACATTCTCATTGTATGCATTGCATCTGATTTCAGATCTGTACTCTGTCTCCCTGACATTTAAGTCCAACACATGTGGTTGGACCTAAGCAGTTTATGTATGTACATTCAGCCCTGTGTATATGGTCTGTTACCCTTTATTATACAGTGCCTTGTGAAAGTATTCACCCCCCTTGGCATTTTTCTTGTTTTATTGCATTAAAACATGTAATTTTATTTTATTTTTGGAGAATTTGTATTATTTGATGTACACAACATGCCTACAACTTTGAAGATGCAAAACATATTTTTTATTGTGAAACAAACAAGAAATAATAATGAAAAAGAAAAAACATGAGCGTGCATAACTATTCACCCCCCTAAAGTCAATACTCTGTAGAGCCACCTTTTGCAGCAATAACAGCTGCAAGTCTCTTGGGGTATGTGTCTATAAGCTCAGCACATCTTTCCACTGAGATTTGCTTCCATTCTTCTTGCCAAAACTGCTCCAGCTCCTTTAGGTTAGATGGGTTCCGCTCGTGTACAGCCATCTTTAGGTCATACCACAGATTTCCGATTGGATTAAGGTCTGGGCTTTGACTAGGCCACTCCAAAATGTTTACATGTTTCCCCTTAAACCACTCTAGCGTTGCTTTAGCAGTATGCTTTGGGTCATTGTCCTGCTGGAAGGTGAACCTCTGCCCAAGCCTCAAATCTCCTGCAGACTGAAACACAGTTTCCTCAAGTATTTCTCTGTATTTAGCTCCATTCATCACTCCTTCTATTTTGACCAGCTTCCCAGTCCCTGCCGATGAGAAACATCTCCACAACATGATGCTGCCACCACCTTGCTTCACTGTGGGGATGGTGTTCTGAGGGTGATCAGAGGTGTTGGGTTTGCGCCAGACATAGCTTTTACCTTGATGGCCAAAAAGTTCAATTTTAGTCTCATCCGACCACAGGACCTTCTTCCACATGTTTGGGGAATCTTCCACATGCCTTTTGGCGAACTCCAAACATGTTTTCTTATTTTTTTTTGCGACTCTTCCATAAAGCCCAGCTCTGTGGAGTGTACGGCTTACTGTGGTCCTATGTACAGATTCTCCTCTCTCTGCTGTGGAGCTTACCAGCTCCTCCAGGGTTATCCTCGGCCTCTTTGTTGCCTCTCTGATCAATGCTCTCCTTGCACGGTGTGAGAGTTTTGGTGGGCGGCCCTCTCTTGGCAGGTTTGTTGTCGTGGCATATTTTTTCCATTTTAAAATAATGGATTTTATGGTGCTTCGTGATGTTCAAAGTTTGTGAGATTTTTTTATAACCCAACCCTGTCTCATACTTTCCCACAACTTTGTGCCTGACCTGTTTGGAGAGCTCTTTAGTCTTCATGGTGTCGTTTTCTTGCTTAGAAAGGCCACTTGCTGTGGTATGGAAGACGGAGGCCTTCTACAACAGTTGTATAATAATAATTAATTAATATAATAATTAGAGATAATGAGGCACTTGATTGCACACATGTGAACTTTATTTAAATAATTGTGTGACTCTGAAGGTCTTTGTTTGGGCTAAATAGCAAAGGGGGTGAATACACACCACTTTTCAGTTTTACATTTTTTGTTATGTTTTAAAACGTGCTCTTTTTTTCTTTCAATTTTGACTGACTTTGTGTGGGGTCTTGCCATAAAATCCCCCCAAAAATATTATATTATTTTTGGTTTTAATGCAAGAAAATAGGAAAAATGGCAAGGGGGGTGAATACTTTCGCAAGGCACTGTATATGGGCTGAATGTGTGAATGTGTGTGTCTGTGTGTGTGTCTGTGTCTGTGTCTGTGTGTGTGTGTGTGTGTGTATATATTAAGCCTTGTGTACATGTGCTGTACTGTATATGTGTGGATACTAAACCCTGTATATATGGGCTGTATGTGTGTCTATACAAGACTCTATATATGTATGGGTTGTATTTGTGAGTTCAAAAACTCCTGTGTTTATGAGTTGTATGTGTGTATGAAAACCCTGTGTATTTGGCCCGTGTGTGTATATATAACCCGGGCTGTGTGTGTGTGTGTGTGTGTGTGTGTGTGTGTGTACATATTAACCCCTGAGTATACGGGCTGTACATGTGTGTGTGTCTGTGTGTGTGTACATATTAACCCCTGAGTATACGGGCGGTACATGTGTGTGTGTCTGTGTGTGTGTACATATTAACCCCTGAGTATACGGGCTGTACATGTGTGTGTGTCTGTGTGTGTGTACATATTAACACCTGAGTATACGGGCGGTACATGTGTGTGTGAGCTCTCCTCAGTCAGAGTTATTGTGTCTGTCTGCAGTAACAGCAGCAGAGCTGACAGCTGATAAATGCTTTGTCTCTTCAGGCCGCTCAGCCAGGACCAGCTTTAATGGACGGAGAGTCTGTTAGAGAGAGAGAGATGTCAGGAGATGAGTTAGTGAGGAGATTACAGCTGAAATCAATCAAAGCCGCCACACCGGGTTTCTCTTTCTGTCTCCTCTGTCTCCTTCTTCTTCTTGCTAATATTTTTTTTTCAAAATTCAACCTTTTACTTCACTGCATTCATCTTCCTAATTCATTCCTGACTGCAGGATTTGTTCTTGTTACAAAGTATTACTACACTCTGGTAATAATACTTTTACATAGCAGCAGAGCCACCTGCTTCACAGCAGCTGCAGGAAACATGAGCGGAGGGCGCCACCTAGTGCCCAAAGCCACAATCACAGTCTGCATCATCAAGCACGAGTACATTAACCAAGAACTTGGTCTCCACTACTTTATCCGGCAGTTAAGTTATTTAAATGTAACTGTTCATGCAACATTTTAAATAAGAATGAATGCTAATAATTGTAATGTAACATGTAATGGTTCCAATTTAAAATGGGATGACGAAGAGGTTTTTAAGATTCTTTCAATTTTAAGGTTTGTACTGTTACTAAATCCACAACATTTATCTGACAGCTTTACATACAAATAAGGACATTTGGTACAGAAAGTAGTTTGACTATAATAGTAACTTTTTGATGTTTGACATTTATTCAAAACTTTGTAATGGTTCCAACTCATCAAATAAGAGGGTTTGCTTATTTTCCTTAATGCATTGTTTTTCAATAACAATGTGGTTTGTACTCTTGGTTGAACGCAACAAACATTGTGAAATTGTCACTTTGGGCTCTTGGTAACTGTGTCAGCGTTTCTCACTACTGACGACACAATGACATCATTATTCTAGAAAATAGTCAGCTGATTGATCCATGATTAAATGTATAGAACAGTCACAGGAAACATTTTTCTGCATTCATTACTTTGAATAGTTTTACTCTAGAAAACATTTCCAACGCAGGCTTTTTATGTGGTGTATCTATTTGTTCTGCTGAACCTATAAATGTGCCACAAGAGACACAATCCTTATCTGTATACGTGATCAGCCAATAAATCTGACCTGAAGGTATTTACAGTCGACAATGCTTCAAATATTGAAATATTGACGTCGCTTCAAAGCTACCAATTCTAAAATGTGGATGCTCCAAACAAGAGGCAGGCTTCATCACGTAAATGTCTATCTGTCTTAGTTTATATTCGACGTAAAGTACATTTTAGAGTCACATCAAATATGTTATGATGCACATGCATTCAAGTCTGAGTCCCCTACCTGAGTGGTACAACAAAACGTTTGAGATGTGGAGAAGTAGAGTAGGTTGGCAGAAAGTGGTTGCCCAACAATATCTGCTTCCTAACAAATGTAAATGTACAATAAATAGTGTGACCCCCCCCCAGAGGAACTAATGTCCAGGCATACTTTGGTGCAGGGTAAGAAGGCTACTCTTGTTGGAAAGTTGAATCAAACCGTATTGTGCGTATTAAAATGGGTTGCTTCAAAACTTGTACTTACCGTTTCTGGTTTTGAGATGAGAAGCGAAACACATATTAGCCCTTCGTCACGCAAACAAATTGAAATACAGCCTTGAACGCAAGTCCAGTTGCAGTTTACATTACTTCATAATTTTTAACTTATTAGGCAATTGTGCAATATTGTGATTATAAGCATGCACATTTCAGTTCAAACTGTTACATTTGACACAAACCTTGACGTTTTGTATCCAAATGTGTAGAAATGTCTTCAAGAAGTTCCTGCGATAAATGTAATTATTTAATTATGAATTTTGAATGTCCATGTTTGTACTAGTGTTTTCCTTCCTTCTTAAATGTTTATGAAATATTTTGAGATTCGACGGAGCAGGGTGTACTTGTACTTTTTACTAGTCCTTTTATTAGACATGTGTCTGTTGTTTGCGTTTGTTTTTAGTGTCAGGATGGATCCCTTGTCTTTTTCTCTGCAAACAAAATCTACCTACGGGTACAAATAAAGAACCTGAAACCAGAACCCCGAAGCATACAAATAGATGTGTACATGTTCTCAAAAACAGTTTTTAACATAAACACAATACCATGAGTAAAAGGACAACACAGTGTGGTTTATGTGCATTAGCATTTTAATTTGACAAAGCAAGAAAACATTGATTACAGTAGCAGAGTCATCAGTTCTCAGGGCTAACACCTTTCTCAACAGAAGGGTCTGAAAATGTCTGTAGGCACTGCCTAATTAAAAAGAGGATCTTGTCAGCTAAAAGAAACCAGCTCTATAAGGCAACAGTTACAATGTAGGCCTCCCCATTTCTCTGGCAAAAAGAGCAAGTGTAAAGGTTGAATCCACTCAGATTTTTGATATAAAATACTGGCGTCTCAATAGATATTTAAAAACCATCCAAAGGGAAAAACATGTTTGCCCTTTCACATTTGAATCGTGTTAAATTTTAAGTATGCACTGCATGGCAATGCTGTTTAATCCCTGCATGGAAGAATCGCGTGTTGCACGGCGCCAGAGTCACTTCACATAGTGCACTCTGCTACGCACAATGTTGGAGTTAACTGTCAAGTTATCAAAACAAAAAAAGAAAGCAAGCACCCACAGTTAACAGTAGCATTTTTACTTACATCGTTTAAAATGGATTCATGGTTATTTACATGTGGCGAAAAAAGATTTGAGGCTGTCCAAAAGATATGAAGGAGAAATGGAATGCAAAAAAAATGAATAGGAAAACACTCTTGGTAGTCAAATTTGTCCAAAGTACAAGAGAGGAAAAAACTGTGCAATATTGATCTGCCCTTACAGAGAAACAGCAGTGGCAACAATCCCTGCAATTGATTTTAATCCAAGAGGAAACTAAAATTAAACAGATTTCCATTTCTCAAATAATAACTAAGGTTCATAACTTAGCACGACTCAGACTTTTTAACAGTTTCTTTTAAAATAAGAACCAAAGAAAAACCTCTCGGAGTCAGTCTGAGAGGAAAGATGTGAAAATGGAAGCAATTTGTAAAACCCGAAAAAAATCCAAAAGTTTCTCCTTTACAGTTTTATACTAATGTACAGTTAACTTAAAACTGGTAAGAGCCCTGGTTCATGGCCAGTCTTCCCTACCACAAAGGGTGTAAATACCTGTGTGGGTCAAAATCGCTCCTCCCTGGCTCCCGTTACCCCCTCCCCCCCACCCATTGTAATCCCATTTACATCTCGTACAGACGCCAGCCTTCCCATCAGGCTGCACGTCCCAGTAAAAGTCTTAGTCCTGCCCCAGGTGGAGGCGGTGTTACACAGCCCCGCAGGGCACCGTGCAGCCAATAAGAGGCCGCGGTTGACAAATCTCCCACCCTGCCCACCTATCAGTGTGTGGGGTATCCTGCGGCTCCCATACCGGGCTGGTTGGCTAGCATACTCCCATTCAATCCCTGTGTGGGCTCCATAACCCCACCGTTACTGATGGCGCTCATGCCAGTCCACCCAGCACTGGCCGGTAAGTGACTGCAAAAAACGAGGTAAAGAGAGAGAGAGAGAGGGGGAGAGGGGGGAGACAGAAAGACAAAATGCCAGCAGGTTAGAAGAGACAAGGCGAAAGGGAGCCAAAGGGACGGTTTATATTAGAGCTACTAAGAATGAAAACAAGAAGGCAAACAGAGTTATCAGAGGGTGTGAGGGTGAGGCAGGCTGGGTCAAAATCAAGCTAGCGAAAAATTAAAACAAAAAACAGAGAGTGGAGGGCTCTTTGGAGGGGTGTCATTTGATTAAACATGGGTGAACAAGCAGACAAAGAGCATAGGAGCTAAGCGTAGCGAGCTAAACATTCCTTCCTACTCCCCACCCCCAACAGCTGTAACCATCATTTGACCAACAAAGGACATTCTCCCCTAATTCACATGCATTCTGAGCCTTTTTTTTACGATTGAATACAACTAAGTTATAAGTTCAGTGTGGAGATACGACAGCTTACACAGGATAACGTATGTTCAAATTTCAAGTCAAGAGAGGCGTAGCGCCTTCCTCTGGTTATTTTGCATTTACTGTGCATTCCACAATCACACCTTTGTACAGAGCCTATTCATACAGCTGGTCACCAAGAATTTTAGACTGTCAACAACATATGGCCTCTCCTTTATTTTTCTTAGGTGCACAAAACGTCACTGCACATAGGCTGTCTAAAATAAAAACAAAATTTGATAACAGGCTACAAAAGATATTTAACATGTCCTACCGACATTCATTTACAGATCAAATCCTCAGATATATACGTCGAAATAAATCAATGAAATCAAAAAGAAAAGAAGAATGTAAAAAGCTATGACATGGATGTAGACATACAAAAAAACAAACTGAACAGCCTTAAAGAACACAGTCCTTACACACAGTAGGCAATCGTACAAAAGGGGAAATTAATCTTCGTCACACCCGTCCCCAGGCCTGGACAGGAAGTGAAAAAAACATTGTTCTGGGCTTTAAGCATTTACATTGTTCAGTCACTTTAACTCTTTAAATGTATTGAAATTCAACAAGCTTTTAGATAGTTTAAGGCAGTTGTCTTTACAATCATATTTTGGAACAGTTAACGCTAAGTGACAAAAACATTTTGGAACAGGAACCATCAGCTGTTAGAATGTGCTGTGAAACATGATGACAACAAAGGTAAAGTTCAGATTGTTCTGTGTGTGTGTGTGTGTGTGTGTGTGTATGTATGTGTGTGTGTGTGTGTATGTGTTTGTGCGTGTGCTTATGTGTCAATCAATCTTCCCAGTAAGGAGGGGTTTGAGGGGGGGGGAGAGTGTGTGTGTGGTTATGGGAGGGAGTTCTGGCTCCCTCCTGTGGCCAATGCCGGCTCTCGCTGCCCCGGTCTTGTGAGGGGTGGGGGGGGGGGGGGGGGGGAGGGGGGGCTCTGGTGTTGTTGGGAGTAGATGAGGCCCTGTACTTACTTGAAGCCCTGCTGGTTCCAGGCCTGGCCGTAGACGCCGTAGGCGGGGACCTGCCACCCGTTGGGCACGTACTGGCTGATCTGGGGCCCGTTGCCGTACCACTGGCCCCACTGGCCGTAGGGCTGGGCGGCCGCAGGGAAGCTCATCTTGTTCTGCTGCGGGAGGAAGAGCCACAGCCAGGGTTAGGACAGCAGTTTGAGAAATGTAGACAGGTTTGGATGAGTGCGTGTTAGTCAGTTTTCTGAATCCAGAAGTCTCTCATCCCACAGGCCATAAAACTGTTAAACACCCGAACTTTTGAAAGAACATCCATAACATTCATCTGGTTGTAACTTATATATAATATATATCAATATTCCATTTACTTGTATATAGACTATTCTGCACAATTTCTATTATATTCAATTTTATTTACTTGCACTATTATCTGTTTTATTGTGTTGCTCTGTTGGAGGAGCCTGTGACCTAAGATGTGCATTGTCATAACTACACTGTAGCTATGCACACATGACAATAAAAGCCTTGAAACTTATTGTCCTTTGTGTGGTTTAATAACATTCAAATTCTGTTTATTTTTCCATATGTTTTTATGATCTTATAACTAGGGATGCTCCGATTGATCGGCCACCGATCGATATCGGCCGATACTCACTCTCTGCCGCGAGAGCCGATCGCATGACGTAAAATGATGACGTAAAATACATGACACTTTTCTCTGTGCGCGGCAAAACAAGCTCGCCAAAATGGCTTCACCAGTCTGGCAGTATTTTAAGGTGTCCGAAAAAGACAGTAAAATAGCGGTATGCAACGTGTGTGTGAAGCAGAAATCCTGCAGCTCCACCTGCTGTGACGGACCGGTGAGCGGAGCAGAACACACACTAAGAGTTAGACCTTACACACTTAGCTATTTGATCTACCTCTGGAACAAGCTAAACTAGTTATACATATATTTATTCTTCACTGTCGGGTCACTCATTACTGGATCAGTGAGCTGCATGAGACGATACTGACAGGCTGTCAAGAGAGAGAGGGAGAGGGGGAGAGAGAGGGAGGGAGAGGGGGAGAGGGAGAGAGAGAAGGAGAGGGGGAGAGAGAGGGAGGGAGAGAGAGAGAGAGAGGGAGAGGGGGAGAGAGAGGGAGAGAGAGAGAGAGAGGAAAAGAGAGCTTTCTTTTTCTCCCGTGTTATTATCCAAAGTGAATGTAAACTTGAATAATGTACTTCATTTGAATGTAATAATGATGTTGGTTGTTGTTTGTGGAAGCGCCAGTAAATGAGCCCCATTAACTGAGTTTTAAACATCACTTTAAATGGAAGATCCCCATAGGCCCCGCCCACTTGATCGGATCGGCGATCGGTATCGGCCGATACTGATTCCAGCGATCGGAGCATCCCTACTTATAACTATTTATACATTCATGTGACATCCCTACAGCATGGATCTGCTTTTAACTTAGTTAGTCCTGAAGAGAAAAATGTGCATAACATGATGTGCAGTGCAGGGGTACAGAAAGAGACCAGCCAACCAAGTATGTACAAAAAAAGGTTTGGACCTTGAAATACATGCAACTTGCTTAATAACTAATAATTAGAAGTAGTAATGCACCATTTGAAAATGGCGATAATAGAGAAAACTTAATTCATCCTAGGGGGGCTAAATGTATATTTATATTTAAGAATAAGCTTAAATAAAGATACATTTAAATACAAATATTCATAAAAATATACAAAGTTGAACTAAAAATGTAAACATTGTATTTCAATATAACGATAAATATAAGAAAATGTGTTAATCACAATATATATATATATATATATATATATATATATATATATATATATATAGTGGGGTATTAGTATTTTCATTGCTTGCTTGATTTGATTTATTTGCTTTTACACGTTTTCCTAAGAGTACAGAAGGTAGGGACTTTCTTTAAGCATCATGTATACATCGTGTTTGGTACATGGTGTCCTCACCTGGGGGATGGGCATCTGCTGCATGGGGCTCATCATGTCCGGGGTCTCTTTCCCCCAGTAGCATTTGACCATGTGGCCCTCTATTGAGGTGCCGTTCACTGACACAATGGCATGGGCTGCTGACTCATGGGAGTTAAACCTGCAGCACAAAAACAGAGGGACACTCAGAGATACATACTTAGCAATGACTTCAGAAGAGGATGAATATCTATTATAAGTATTTAATCAACAATAAAAGCATCCGACAGCCCTTTTTTTTTTAATACGGGAAATGCAATTAATACTTCAAAGTCATTATTAAAGTTATTCCTGCTACCAGGAAATGTTGGTGCCATAATTCAAGTAAGGGATAATGTGCAGCGACGCGGTCATTATGGGGAAAAGAACACCGACAGGCTGATCAGGAGCCCGACGCGAAGCGGAGGGATCTAAATCTGCATGAAGGTGTTCTTTTCCCCATAATGACCAAGTCGCTGCACATTATCCCGCTTATTACATGGCCACATTCTCAAAAAAGTAACGATACGACTCCCACTATTAATTGAAATGCTTTTATGGATTTAGAAAATGATTTTATTGATTTAAAAAATAGTTGTATGTATTGATTTAAATTTACCTGCATCCGCTAAGAAAAGTAGTCCGTTGTTACTGTTTGAACTAACGTAGCAACGGCAGGAACTGCTTCGATAGCGTTTTTGAGAAGCTTTTTGATTACAGATTTGAAAACATCGTTGCTTGCTTTAAAAGTAGCACAATTCATTATGTCAAACCTTGGAAAGTATCTAGATATCCCTGCCCTAATGCCAAAGGAACTGGCAACTGAATATGTGTCGCCGTTTGATGTCTATGTCTGGAACGCTGCGTAAAAAGGAGGGTTTCTGCCCCATTACTTCTCCGCTGTTTTCTTGTCGCTCTTGTCTTGTCAGTTAGAAAAGCAAACTGCATGCAGTTTGCTTTTCGGCCAAACTGTATACAGTTAAAATCGAACGGACTTGTTTGTGCAGATGTGAGCGTCCTTAACAACGGTCAATAAGTCCTTGACAGCGGTCTGTCTGTTCTGGTTTAACAACGCGTCACGTGTTCCGAATTGACCAATCAGAATCGAGTATTCAACTAAGCCATGTAATAAGCTGCCTATAATGGCTGCTACTAATAATTATTTTCATTATTGATTAATTTGCTGATCCTTTCCTACATTTATCAATTGTTTTGTTTTTTTAATAAAGAAAGGAAATCGAAAATAACTGTCTAATGTCAGTTAATCTGATTTCGTCAGTCCAAATCCTAAAAGATATTAAATCTGATATGATGTGAAAAAAACTGAAAAGCAGCAACATTTCCACATTTGTCAAGTTCGAAACATTATATTTTTGCGCAAAAAATAACTTTTAAAAGATCAATTACTCAATAAGTTGATGACCAGGATCAAAACAATTACGTTATACTTTTCCATCGCTTTAAAGAACAAAGGTCGGGTAATATGAATCGTCCACATACCTCACAAATGAATAACCTTTGTCTGGGAAAACTCTGATTTCCATGATTGGTCCGAAGGCGGAAAAAGTTTGTCTCATCAGTTGTTCTGAAAGAGAGAGAGAACATATGGATATAAGATATCGCTTTTATATGGATTCAGGATTAAAAAAAAATTGTGATAGCTGCTTGAAAAACGCTGAATACACCACCATAGGAATGACTTGTATGAATTGAATTATGATTCACCTTAAAAGTAGTGCACACTGGTTTTCAAACAGCTTCACTGCAGTGGTATTCATTTAATTGTGTTGAATTCTTTGCTGTATTCATATGATACTCCCACTGATGCTAGCATTGTTAGTGATAGTGTGAATTACCTGTCAGTCCTGTGCTGACTCCGCCACAGTACACAGTGCAGTTACTGGGGCTGGACTGATTCACTACTTCTTCGAAGGATAGGTGCTTGGAGTTATCTGCTAGGGGAAACAAGAGACATTTCTACTGTGAAAACAAGAATCCAACAGGCTGTGTAACCAGGAAAAACACAGAAATCCATGACAACGCACTTTCATAGGTGGCCTTAGGGGCGGGGGGCTTTCTTGTGGCCCAATTAGTTCGGATCTGTCTGCCTCCTAACCACTGACCACCCATCTGCTGAATGGCGTTCTCTGCATCCTGGAAAACAGAAAAAAAAGGATCTGGTTATGTCAAAGCAGGAGCATTACAAGAAAACTCAAATACATTCCTTAAAAACAAAACAAGGTGCCTGTTTTCGGAGCATGTTTAATTTAATACGACAAGATTCCCACCTTTGACCTCAACTTACCCATTTGTTGAAGAAAGACACAAAGCCGTAGCCTTTAGATTTCCCTGTAGCCATATCTTTCACAACACGAGCATCTCTGTGGACAAACACACCAGGAGTATGTTAACACAAAGCATGACAGTACTACAAGTTCAAAGATATATATCATTGCCCTCTATATATGGAAATACCCACAATATCTACATTTTATTAGTATGAGGTGGAACAAGGGATAACAATAGTTCCTCGTTATTTTGTCCATAGAGATTTAAATCAGTAAATCCTGATACTTACGATATCCTGCCAAATGGACCGAAGGCAGCTTTGACGTCATCTGTAGTAATTTCGGGGCTGAGGTCTCCAACGAAGACATGAAAGTGATCTATGAGGGAGTTTAGCATGTGAGAATACAGCCATCTATTTCCAGCTTTTACCAAGATTGTGACTTCCTGCAGAGGAGTGCTGATTTGTATCTGTGTTTGTTAATGGCGCATTTCCACTACAGCGCGGAGCTCGCTTTAAGCGTGCCGTGTCGTGCCGTGCCCGTTTTTGGTTGCACTTCCACTAGGCCTAGTTACGGCCCGGCCCGGGGCCACTTTTTCACCTCTTTTCTGGCCCGACAAAATTGTGGTTCTATCGGGGCCAACAAACAGGGCTGAGTCGGGCTGAGTATGCTAAACTAGAGAGAGGATCGCTGGCAAGGGGGCTACAACTACAACAAGATGGACATATTTGACCGTGATTTAATTGTAATACACGTTTCAAAATGATGCCGAAGTAACAACATACTGATACCGGTTAGTAAAAACCATGAATTAATGCTTTGTCAAGTCTGCAGACAGACGGCAGGCGAAAAACCTTTTAAAATGCGTGTTTTTCTAGATGGAGATTGGCTAAGCTAACGCAGTATATGCTCCGACCGTCCACACTCACAACAACGGCCTATACAGACATAAATAAAGCAGCGACTGTATTCACCATGACACAGGCAGTCTGTGGTTTGTACTTGTTTAACTTTTGTCTAGTTTCTGAACAGATATGAGGAGCTGTGAGCTCTGAGTGCTAACAGCTAACGGCTGTGTTGTTTTTCTGGAGTTCTCATTGAAGATGACGTCACAGCTCCGCCTACACTGCGTTACTATAGTAACTACCCCAGTTCCTAAACTGTAATGGAAGCGCAGCATGAAGTGAGTCGGCCCTGTTAAGGCCCAACGCGGCCAAGCCGTACTGAGCGTGGCCGGGGCCGACCGTGTAGTGGAAATGCGCCATAATAGGGGAAGGACTAAGGGGAAGGACTAAAGCAAAGGCATCTCGGCAAAACCAAGACATGGGAAGAAAATGCCTACATGAAGAAATATAAGCATATATGCAGTTACCATCTTCCTTTGTACTCATTCAAATTACTTCTATGTTAGATTTGTCCAGTCTGTTAGTATAATGAAGTGTCATCAATGCCGCCTTGTACTTACTACTTGTGTCTTTTTTCTGGCTGGTTGGCGTCGTGGCCCAGTTGACTTTGACCTCCTGCAGAGAGAGAACAGAACAGGTGGGGTATGTTTACATCATTCACAGAAGAAACATCCACTATCGGAGTATATGATTTATCTTGAAAAGGTGAAGTCTGTGATTCTTATCCGATACGCTCAATCAAATTCAGCGAATATTTCTCACGTGTCGCTACCTTTCGGTACTGTGCTGAAAGAAATCTGGTGTCCATACAAAAACGTGGGTTTGTAACCGAAGTGTATTGGAACGATCCACTAGGGCCATACCGAAAGTTATTTTATTTCCAAGTTGTGCTTTTTTTTCAGAAGTTCTGAAATGAAGCATCGAATGTTTGTTATGAAAAAGGTGCGTTACGACGTTCGTGCGTATGTAGCAAAGGGAAAGGGTTTTTAAGGGCATTAAAAATGGTGTTACACTAACGCTGAAAAGTATGGATGGAAGCAGAATATTCAGTTAGACATAATTGGATTTGAGAAAATTAAACAATCTTTTATCAATACATTTTGACCAAAGACGATTAGACCACTGGCGACTGTGTTTTTAATAGAGACAAAAAGTGAACTATTGCACGCACCGTTTGTGTAAGAGCGTCTATATAGTGCAGTGCGAAAATCAAAAGTTCAGAGGTCATCATTCTGATTTGACTTTAGAAAAAGATTGAAGCTCTGTAAAAAAAATGCTTTATGGTCAATCGGGCTAAGTTACTAATAATTTGAATGCAAACGTGAAGAGTAAATGATTCTAGGCGCAGACCTATTTGATACAGGCACAACCCTTTCCCAGCAGACGAATGGCCGTGGATGTTTAAAGGGATAAGGCAGGTGAAGGGAGAGGGACGGTAAGTGATCAAATATCAACAATCTTTCTCAAGAATCACAGACTCCAACTTTAAAAGGCTGACTTATAAGCTCGTAAAACTGCGGAATATCTTTAATTACCTAACTTTGTTTCCTTTGCATGTCCGGAGACGTAGTTAAAGAAAATAATCTTATATTTAATGTTTTAGCTCTCAATCCACTCAATATAAAACTGCTATGGGTCTACCATTTGTGGCCCAAAGTATCTTATGACTTGATGCAGGAACTTCTTAGCAAGAAAAGCACAAAGGGGGCATCAATGCTATTTTGAAACATTATATTATGCGGCATTAGCCCATAACAAAAATTGAAGATAGAAGTACAATTTACAAAACACCTCTGCAGTCGTTGATTAAACACAACTCACCTATTGGGGTTGCTCAGTTTAGTGCATGAAAAGTAATTTAAATGTTTTGGTTTATGTCTTAGCACTGAATTCATAATCCCATTAAGCATCACTTTAATATTCTTTTATAAGGCCCCTGGGTTTTTCAAATGTGAATAGTTTGCTCTATTGTTCTAGATAACATAACTTACATATCACAAAGCCCATACACTTGGGCTTTGTAATGCTCAAGATATGATTTGGACCCTGGCTCCAGGAGCTTCCCCTATTGCTATGCTAGCAGGCCACTGTTTTGTTTGTTTTTGTTTTAGAAGGCACATAATCTAAATGTCCCATACCCAAAGTCCACCCATCGCAACTCACCCTGTAGACACGATAGCTTACCTTACCCATTATTTTCCTTCCATTCATTGCTGCCAATGAGGCAGCAGCATGCCTGTGGTCATAGAACTCCACAAAGCAGTACGGATCATTTCCAGCCGTCTGTCAAGGGAAAACAAAACTGATATTAAGTCCACAGCCAGGGGGACATTTTAATCACTTCAGATGACAAGAGCCACCTACTGTTAATTTGGAGTGTAATGCCTGATGTGATATACTGGGATTGGGAAATCAACAGCAAGCATAATGTGGATTGAGACTTTCACATGCAGCAGCACCACATTTTAGGCCCCTGTTGAATGCAATTTCCTATAGTGGAACAATATATATATAGATAACACTCACATCTACTATCATTTTACAGCTCTTGCAAGGTCCTATCTGTGTGAAGACCTGCAGGATGAGGGGCTCGGTGACATCCCTGGACAGATTCCCAACATACCTGCAAACAAGGAAAGAGATGGGGGAATTGAGTCTTTGTCAAACAGGAAGTAGCATGCAAACAAAGGCTAGTTAACCGGGCTAGCCTCAACCCACAACAATACTTTATATTTACAATACAAAACAAAAATGAAAGGGGGGAGGGTTAATATTACTCGGGGTAGTCTAATTTCCACACAGACAACTCGGATATGATCAGGTTTATTGGCGCTGTCCCGGACCGTTTCTCCCAGCGTTGACGTGGCTTGTCTTGCCAGCTAGCTAAAGCTAACGCTGGCCGGTTAAAAGAGGGCCTCATGCTAAATGGATTGGCAGCTACTGGCTAACATAACATCCCTTTCACAAGCTAACGCATGTCTAGTCCTAATAACACACGTATATTTTTATAAATACACATATAATTCGAGTAAAACGGGTGCATTTGAGAAGCAGTGACTAGCTAGCTGCGTTAGCATCTTTGGCTAGTGTTACATAGCATTAGCCTAGCATTAGCTAGCCGTTCAGTTTCATTTCAAGCGAGCTGTGGTTCCGTCTATTTATATGAACGGCTAAATCAAACAGAACCTACCGTTCAAATAAAAAAAGCAATATTGTATTTACAAACGTCGCTGTTTTGGCCCTGAAACTACAATGTGGAATAAATGTGACTTAATCAAAGGTTTTCTTTTAATGAAACAACAACGTGGAAACATTTCGCCGGTATTTACACCGATCCTTCTTTCCCATTCCAGGACATAGACGGGGCCCGATGTTACTCACAAGGTTCTGGGTTGATCGTCGTCCATCGTCAAGGTTTTAGTGGTCGCGTCCTGAGAGCTCTTTAATCCAATGACATACAAATGGCTTGTGCTTAACTTGAGCGACCGCAAACGTAAAGGGGTATATCTACTATTTTGTGATAAATCGGCGGCCGCTTCTGCTCTCACACACACACCGCAGACAGCCTCAGTCTGATGCAAACAATAGGAAGTTGAAGATGGCGGAGGAGCAGCGTCAGCAGCGTCAACCTGCGCGCTGAAATGAAGCCAAAATCAAGCGCTCTTTCTCCCACACAAAGATGTGGCTCCACATTTTTCGTGGCATATGCAGCAAAAACAGCGAGTGTTATTATTGCTTTGCACAATTATTCAAAACTGATTATTCTTGGTCATATAGCTTTAAAGACAAGGTTCAGAAATGTTAGAGAAATTAGAACTGGAAACCTCTGGCAAATAAGATAAGATAAGATGGACCCTATAGGAAATGCAGGTGTTAAAGCAGCAACAGAATAAAAGTGAAACACAGATAGTACACAGTATATGAGAATATACACAGGGATAATAGAATACACAAATGTAATGTCAATTAATCTCTATATCAGGTGAATTTACATATTTACAGTTATGTGAACAAGTTAAATAGATATATGAGTCTATCATCAGCATTTGAGACTTCCCAATTTCCCCCCAAAAAATCTGAGATTTTCCATTGAACTTCATATTCATTGTATTTGGTTGGTCAAGCTCCCACACTTTTTATAAATTAATTGCTGGCAGACAATGTACATGTATCCACCCTGTCATGGACAAATTCAAAGTAGAGTAAATACATTGTAATTACATAGTGATTATAAAATGTACATTTTCAGAAAGCTATTTAGTCCCTTTCTCAACAATATATGTCAGTTAATCCAGTATTTGGATAATAATAAAATGATGGTCCGTATCTCCTTCCTGTCACGAACCATGTCCACCCTGTCATGGAACTTGCTGACAGGGTGGACAATGACAGGGTGGGCATTTTTGGCTAATATTAGCATTTAATGAGCACATGGTGGACCTTCAGTTAGCAACATGATTCAGTTAACAAGGTGACTGTGTACTGTTTAACAAATATATTTCGAATTTCTGAAAGGTTTTTCTATTAATTGACATTTCACTATGACAGAGTGGACATGTTAAGCTTGACAACATCCAACTACACACATAATATGATTACAATTACGAAATATAAGTTTAAATACTTATTCTGCAACTGTCTCAGCCTCCATTGAAGAAAGACAACATGGTGGTAGTAATGTCACTGAAAACATCAGATGTTTTTTTCATAGGGACAGTTACCCCATAATGACAGGGTGAACAGCAATGTCAGGGACACATGCAAAATGTTCAATATAATTATGAAAATAGAATATACATGATCAAAATGACTCGTTTTATCAAATAACTTGTTGTGGACAATAAAAGCATATCATTAAAAAAAAAATGTAGTATCATTTAACCACTTATTACACACACTGTAGTTAGCAGAGCAGTGTGTGGGACATGCCAAAATCACGTACATCCAATGAAAAAATACGGTATAAAATGAACGAAACACATTTCAAGAGACTTATCATTGTACTGATATGTGTGTAAATGTTTGGCCATTTATAATAAGACCTCAGAGTTTCATTATTCTGCTACATTTTCATGATGACTGAGTGATTCTGATGGGGACACCAAAGTTACTTTATAGTGATATTGACTCATATATAAAAACATTGAAATGTGCAGGTACCAGTACGGGTGAAATAAATAAATGTGGAAATAAATACAGGAATAAATAAATGAATACAGGAATAAATGTGGAAATAAATAGAGGAATAAATAAACACAAGACAAGATAAATAAATACATACATGTATAAATAAAAATATATAAGCTGAGAATAAAATGTATTTTTATTTTCAATAACATTAATATATTTATTAATGTATGTGTCTGTGTTTCATTACAGAAAATAATGAAATAATAACATATAAAATAAAATAAGAATTAAAATAATTAAAAAAAACTAAGAATAAAAAAAAACGAATAAGATAATCAACAAATAAACAATACAACAATACAACTTTTATATATTTAATAATTAGATGCAAAATTATACTATTTTCAAAATTTGAATAAATTGTTTCAATATAATACAATTATAAAACAAAAAACAAATAAATAGTACAAATTATCATTACAAAAATTATACAATACAATAAAAAATAACACTTATAACTTATTATTTAATAAAAAGCGGACAGAGTTTGTGTTTTGGCCTCAGTCATGTACAAAGCTTTTCTGTTTGCAGCTTTAAGAAAGAAACACACACGGAGGTACAGGACATTTTGTGGTTTTATATCCATTATTATTTTTGTGAGTTTGGTCATGGTCGTGCGATCCAGTGAGTCCAAAGGAAAGCATCAGTACAAAGTTGCAGTAATGTGGTTGGTCACCAATTTGTTTAGCGCCCTTTATAAAGAAAGCTCTTCAAATATATTGCATCTGCGCCGCTGGTGTAGTGGTATCATGCAAGATTCCCATTCTTGCGACCCGGGTTCGATTCCCGGGCGGCGCACGTCTTTTGCTTCGGTAACTTTCAGATAAAGATGTAATGTCGCTCCAGTAATTGATGGACTGTATCAAATATAACGGAACTTCTAAATCACCCGTTATAAGACATATTATCTTGTAGTGTCACTTGCTTGGTTCTATGCATTTATTATTCATAATATTCAGTGCAGGTTATTTCTGATGGGTTACATGGTTAACCTATTAAAACAAATATTTGCACTGTAAGCACATATGGAGGATGGAACATGACAATAGTATAAATAAATAAATGCTGGAATAAATGTATGAATAAAAACATGAATAAATATGGAGTTAAATAAATACAGGAATAATTTCAGTATTTTTATAGCACAGTCACCATAGCCTCGTTGGTTCCATAAGATACGAGTTGGAATTGAACCAGTGACCTTCATGTTGATAGACATACCCCTTGAGCTAAAGCCACACAGAGATCACATTAAAATCTTTACAATTGGGCTTCTACATTCAAAGAACATAATCTGTTGAATGTAGAAGGTATAAGAAGCGGGAAAAATATAACAACTTGGAATCCACTCAGATATAGTTTAGTTTTTCTCCAGTCTTCCTCAAGATGGAAACAGACTGGAGATGGATTTAACAACAACGGCAGGGTTCGAAACACTCGTTTTCAGTTTTTGGCCAGCTGTGTGGTAATAATCATTATTGTCCCCACGTTTTGATACTCTGGTCCAATTGTACTAACTTTGTGTGTGAGAAGGAGAAAACATACATTGGCCAGTACGGGTATCGAACCCGCGACCTTCGCGTTATTAGCACGACGCTCTAACCAACTGAGCTAACCGGCCATTGGAAGTTCCACTAGTGACGTCATCAAACAATCAAACAATAAACGAAACCTACAGAACCGAAAGGGAAATCTTCCTGGCTGGTAACTCCTTACGGACGGTAAGATTTCATAGTTTAAACATGTTAATGCGTTATTTTTGCTAGATTTATAGAGAAAGTCAATAAAATAACATCAGTCATGGCATGCAACAGTTTATGGCTATCAGAGTGATAATGTTCAGGCTGACAAAAGCTACAATGTTTACTCGTCCTGTGTTCCTAAATGTATAGAGTTTTATTTGACTTATAACCTACTTTTCTGTTACAAACGGACTGCAGCTATAGTTGAATAAACTATCAATTAATGTGCCCTAGAGTTAGTGTAATGTTGAATGGAAATTTTAAAGGCAGACCAACTGAATAAGAGTGCGATACAACCAGCAAGGTTAGCAACATTTATGACAAGCTACAAGATGGACTTAGTGTTAATTTCGTTGACTAAAACTATGACGAAATATGTTCGTCAACGACCTTTTTTTCCATGACGAAAACGAGACGATGACGAGACGGCACCGACGGCAGTAAACAATAACTGTAACGAAATCATCATGCAATATCGTTGACGAAAAGTGACAGCTGTGTGTCTGTGCTGCGCGCGACGGTACATTTGAATTACACCGGGCAGCGGCACAATATGAACTGTCAGGAAGACTCGGGTCTAACTCATGGTCTAACTAACCTTATTTAACAGAAAAATAAAATGGCAACAACAGGGCTTGGGAGCAGTGGTCGCACTCGCGTTAACCGAATACCCCCCCGTCAGCGCGAGTGAGTGATACATTGTGCACTCGACGGGTATGATTGATTGATTGATTGAATTGATTGAATTGATTGAATTGATTGAATTGATTGATTGATTGATTGATTGATTGAAAAGTTTATTAACAGCTTGTATATTGGGTACAGTACAGTACAGCTCAAAACATACAATTGTTAAGGGGATGCAGACCAGAGAAAGACTTTCGTCTTGTTTACATCAGGGTCCCCCATTTCCAATTCATCATATCATTTAAGTCATATAAGACATATTTGACATACAGATGGCTTATTTACAATTTACATACAGGTGGTTTTTTACATACAGATGGCTTATTTACAATTTTCATTTTAGATTTCGTTCTAATACATCCTAACCGGACATTTAAGACATACCAAGTCTACAGATATACAGTTAGTAACAGAGTCTAAAATGCGAGTATATACAATGGATTATGACGGAAATGTTACGATCCTGTCCGTCAAAATCACTGACAACGAAAAAGTCTAAAGCTACCACTGCTTGGGAGAAAGAAATGATGTGATATTTGGGCCCATTTTCGCTACAATGAGGCGGAGAAAAAAAGCGAATGCATTGTTTTATCAGAAGGGAAGCAATGTGGCCATAACACAGCTGGTAAAAACACCACAAACCTGACCAGATACTCTCTGCAAAGCTGCATTCTTAATCATTCAACCTGTGTTTTTCATCAAATAAGGACAAGATATAATCTTATTGTGAAATAAGTTTGACTAAAATGACAAATTATTGGTTTTGGCTAGACTAGTTTGACTGAAATGTTCTATATAATCTGATGACTAAAAAAGACTGAACAGTTTTCATTGACAAAAAGTAGACTAAAATAATTAGTTTTCTTTGACTAAAATAAGACTAAAATGCTCAGACTTTTAGTCGACTAAATCTTGACTAAAATATTTATTGTTTTAGTCGACTAAAATAAGACTAAAATGCTCAGACATTTAGTCGACTAAAACTTGACTAAATAAAAACAGGATGAAGGTGACTAAATATGACTAAACATTTAACACAGGACTAAGACTAAAACTAAATAAAAAACGAAATTAACACTATGGACTCACTTCTGACAAGGAAGCAAATGTCAAAACCCATGTAAGAAGGAGGAAGCGAAACAGGGCAAGGCAAGTTCATTTGTATAGAACTTCTCAAGCATTCAGTGCTTTAATGTGACAAAAGAGTTATCTGGCACATTTTGAAATAAATACACAATATCAATTAACAGAAGTAATCCAAGCTAGCCACACTGTCTCATTGCTTTTGCTTGCCTCTTGTAACCCTCATGTCGTGTTTCCGCAAAATCTGACAGATTTACCACCTTCATCAATTATAAATATTGTGTTTCACCTTTGATTGCTTGATGCCTTATGATTACCTTTCAATGTAGGCATTTTAACTTATACAATTGCTGATCACCACTTTCATTGAATTTTGGTCAACTTTTTAACATCTAGTGTTCCTGGTCAAAAACGCCATAGGAGATGAATGGGTAATGATTATGATTACTAGATTATGTTCATCTGTCAGATAGTAGCTACACACGGACAAATCAACAAAAGGTTAATTTTGGAATACATGTTCATTGTCTTTTCTTTGTATATTCACTGCAGTAATTCATGTTAACCAGTAGTCTGAGACATTGTTTAAAGATTAAAAGGGTTGTTAAATAAAGTGTGGTGATGAATAATGTTTAATCACCAAAGTAATGGGGGAGAAACGAACATGACAGGAGGGTTAAGTTAAAGGTCACCTATCATGCTAGTATTAGGCAATAGCATATGGTCTCAGATATATAAACAAATACAAAAAACCAAACAGATCACCCCTTCTAGCCATGCCTCATATCCCTCTATTTCTCTTCCTGTTACAAAAGTGCTGATTCTGGGTATAAACAGGTCTCTCTTGAGAATGAGACCCTGTGTCTCAATGAGATTTTCACCTAAAAAAAAAAAAAAAAAAAATTTTTTAAACTGAAAAAAATTAAAATAAGAGGGGGCGGAGCTTATTCCGGCTCATGCGGGGACCTGGCAGATACTGTCTAAAATGCTGCGGTGATGAGACGCAAGGATTATTAGATCAAGGATTATTTCTGAAACAGTATGGAGCTCAAAGGCTTTCTCTCTTGCCGGTTATACCACAAGGTGAGTTCCTTTTTATTTCCTGCTTCTTCACACACTCTCTCCAGTACAGGTTAGCTCTGAGTGTTAGCGATGCTAATGTAAACACCGACCATATTACATCCAAAACAGTCGGGCATTGTTTCTGATAGCAACGTTTCTGATAGTGCTGTGGGTCCGCCGCCAATATGACGTCATATCGGCCGCAAATCTGGATCAGCTCCGTTGTACCCCCGTTTTTAGAGATTTTTTAGAGATTTGGGTACGGAGGAAAAGAGAGAGGGTTTTATTTTCTGACGCTGCGTGAGTTCCCTGACACACCGGGGACACATATTTATGTATAAAAGACATACAAAAGTGCATTTTGCATGATAGGTCCCCTTTAAAGTAACACCCTGATTGATCTTAATTCTAACATAATGCCACATCTCCCTTTGAATTTCTTACAGAGCTTCCGATCTTTACGGGATCTTTACAACATCCTCCATTAGCCACATATCTGAATCAGGATGTCAGTGCAGTTCTCCGGCTGGGAGGTGATTGACGATGGTGCTTCTTTTCCTGGTTTGGAGCTGAACTCGTCCCAGAAACCCCGAAGCAGGGGCGTCTACACCATGTACCACGGGACCAGCATCACCAGCGCACGAGTCATCATTGCCAATGGTTTTAAACAGTCTTCAGATGGCATGCTGGGAATGGGCGTGTATGTCAGTCGTAATATAAATAAGGCATCGGGTTATCCTTTTCTATGTAGTCCTGCAGACCGAGTTGTCCTTCAGTTACATGTGCGCGTGGGCCGTGTCAAGCGCATTGACAAGGACAACCATCCCATGCAGAAAACATGGCACTCACATGGCTACGACACTGCTTGGGTGCCCCCTAATATCGGCCTCCTAGCAGTGCGCAGTGGCCTGGAGGAGGACTGTGTGTTTGATCCCAAAAGAGTGAAAGTGGTAGGCATCGCAAAGGCATCAAATGATTCCATACAGAAAGAACTTAAAGGGCTGATAAAATCATCTGGAAGAGGGGGTGCTGGTGCTGCAGAGGTGTGTTCACTGTGTAAGAGAAAGACCCAGCAGGGCTCTCCACACATCAAGCAGAAGTGCTGGGAGTGTGGGAAAAACATCTGCATTCTCATGTCCAAGCATCTTTGTCCAGCCAAACCCTGACGGGGTGAGGGAAGGGGGGATTGATGATTAGATTTGACTCTCATATTGACTCATAGTGACATGTTTAAATATGTACTGCTCAATGTGTTTTGGGGATCTTTTGTAAGTTAAAAAAATAAAATCTCAATCCTGAATTGACTGTCATTTAAAGTAAACTGTAGCTTTTTATTTTTATAGTTCTACATATTATATATTGTATTGATTACACTCTCTTAATAGTATACAATTTGTATCACATGCAAAGGACACATAACACATGACAAGGCAAAAGGATATTTTCTCTCCAACATTTGACATTCATTTTTTTGGGATATATTTTTATGTAAAACATGGGACTGAAATAATTTGCGAAAACTCAAGCCAATAAATGTCATTGTAATCTAATCAAACCCATCATGTCTTTTTGTTTTATATGATTCCATGTTGTTAAGAGACTCAGTAAAGCTCATTTCTATAGTGATGCCTTCAGATAAAGCCGCAGCTTTACCATTTCCTACTTTTTATCAGTATGTTGTGTAGTGTGAAGAATATTAAGTGGCATTTGAAACACCTTTTTTAACAAGTCCCCATAGGACCTGCAAAGAAATAGGAGTCACAAAGTGGCTAAAAATATTTTATTTAATTTTGTGCTCAAAGGAGAGAGGCATCCCAGCTGCAGTCTGAAGTGAAGATAAGGAAGTAAGAAAATAAACTTCGCCTTGCTCGTAGATAAGCTTCTAGGCATAGGCACACAATACGTCCTCCCCTTGTCTCCACATTTACAGTATTTTACTGCTTTAAAACTATCTGATGTGGTAATATGATTTAAACAAACTAACCCTCTGAACTGAATATGCACTAGTAATCACAATATCCTCTGAGATATTGAAGGCCTAATTCTTAAAGCTAACCATACATATATAAAAACCTCAGGGGTCTCAAGCTCTGGAATTAAAGCAGCAGTTAGTGTAGTTCCTTTCCATGTCAGCTGATATTGTTGTGAACATGCTTTTTTGCCTTCAAATTGTATTATCTGCGATTTTTTTATTGCTTTGGGAGACAAGACATCATCAAAAACTTTGTTGACCAGTACGGGTATCGAACCCGCGACCTTCGCGTTATTAGCACGACGCTCTAACCAACTGAGCTAACCGGTCACGATCACACTACCTCAAAGTAACGTATATAATCCCAGCATAATATGACACTATCGAAAGTAGAAACGCTAAGAAAAGACAACGGAAAGTGAAAGTAATTTAGGTTAAAGACTACTCACCCACGATAAGGTTTGTTCTCTTACTTTTAAACGTTAATTCATACACCTTAAAGGAATTATAGCTCATTAGTTTAATAGAACAAGCAGCAGTCAGTTAAAGTCCGTCGTTTACTACTTTGTAACGCAACAGAACATCTTACTATTAGCATATAGTCTACATACCTTTAAAGGCTAACTCGTAACTAGCTAAAACGGCACAACACGGCACCCTATTGTTGTACATCTAGATATGGTCACTGAAAAATGTTTGATTCTTCTTGGATTTTAACTTGAATTACCGAAACATGCTACTCATCTAATTCTGAGACGATATGGTATCAATAACCTACATGAACAACGTTTAGCAGCTGATATTAACAATAATGAAAGACCATAATCTTAAATGTATTTTATGTTGCATTGCTGGAGGGGCCTGAGACAGTAATTGCCAAAAGTATACTTTAGCTATTGTGCATATGACATTAAAGCCTTTGAATGTGGAAACTTAGGAATCTAAGCTATATCAAATACATTTTAAAACATAGGTCTTGAAAAGTCACACCAAATCTGTCATAAGTGTTACAACATGATGCCATTTTTGCTTTTATTCTCACAGAGCCTTTGGTCTTGAAGAGCATCCCTTGTTAAATAAAGATGTCGCTGCGATTCTTTGGCTGGGAGGTGACCTACGATGATGAATCTCCTCGTTTGGAGCTGGGGGCTTCTCAGCAGCCCCAAGACAAAGGCATCTACAAAATGTACCATGGCACCAGCGTCGCCAACGCACGGCTCATCATTACCAATGGCTTTCAGCAGTCATCAGGTGGCATGTTGGGCAAGGGCGTGTATGTCAGTCGAGATCAGAAAAAGGCGGAACGTTATCCTTTAAATAACAACCATTCAGACAAAGTGGCCCTTGAGTTACGTGTGCGTTTGGGTCGTGTCAAGCGCATTGACACAGACAACCATCCCATGCAGTACACCTGGAGCACGCAGGGCTACGATACCGCTTGGGTGCCTCCGAACTGTGGCATGAAAGCAGTGCCCAGTGGCCTAGAGGAGGACTGTGTGTCCGACCCCCAAAGAGTGAAGGTGGTAGGCATCGCAAAGGCTCCAAACACCGTGCTGGCAGAGCTTCAGAAGCTAGTGGCTGATAGTCTAACAAATCCCAGCGCAAGAGATGATGGTGCTCCGGATGCCTGTTCACTTTGTAAGAGAAAGACCCAGCAGGGCTCTCCACACATCAAGCAACCGTGTTGGGGCTGTGGGCAAAACATCTGCACGCTCATGACCAAGCATGTCTGCTCAGCTAGCAACTGAGAGGGTGAAACAAGTAGATCCACGTCCAAAATGGCCTTGTAATGTGGTGGAGAGAAAACCATATTTAGAAAAACTAAGAGTAAAATTCAAAGCTCAGGGTGTGACCATACTTTTCAAACATGAGTCAACGTTTCTACTTTCCTTCCCCCATGTTCAAACCTTTTTCACTTCCTCAAACGAACATCTGTAACTTGCTACAGTAGCTACTTTGTGTTCATACTGAAGTTCAATATGATCTATTTTGAAATGTATTCTTGACAAATCGGTAAGCATAACAATTATATGCAATCAAGACGAGACAATCGTTTAGTTCAAGCAAGATGCCTTTATTTCAATCTGAACATGGACATCAGTTACTTAAAGTGAATTTCATTTTGAAGTAATATGCGATAAAGATCATGATTTTTGCTGAATGTATTTGATATCCTGAATGCTGTATAATGTTAAACCAAAGAACCATGTAAAGACAATAAACATTGTGATATCTGACACAACATTTTGAGTTTGATATGATTTCATATTTATTGAAGAGACCCAGAAGAAAAAGCTACATTTTGATTATTTCAGCCTGTAAATGAACCCTGCTGAGCTACATGATTTGATAGTGACGCGTTGCAGAATTGCACAACTCAAGCTGACGAAGAGGAAAGCAGTGAATCAAAGTCGAGCAGTCTCTGATCTCTGTTCTTTTTGGCATGTTGTAAAAGGACCTGTAAAAGAAAAGAGAAAGTTGGAAGTTGGAAATAGGCACTTCAAATGAATATACATCCAGGTATAAAACAGCTCTGTGCTCACATTCATTAGCTCCTGGTCGTTTTTGCTATGCAAGTGTCTGAGGAGGTACCAGCTGGCCACCTGCACCACCGTCACTGGGAGGTCCTGAGTGTACACCAGCCTCTCCAGCAAACGCCTGGTTTCCCTGCAGGAGACAAAGGTAAACGGACAAAGGTAAAACATGAGCTTAATACTTGTTAACCAAAATCACTACAATAGTCTGGATACATTTAGGAGTGGAATATGTGAATGAAATGAGCAAGAAATGTGGTAAAAATGCCTAATTGTGCTGCTTTTGCTGATGTAAATAACACATGCTAATTTGCTCTTAAGATATATAGAATTAGATGATGGCTGTTTTAAAAGTACCAACCACTTGAATAGATGGGAGTCATACATCTGAAGCTTCAGGAATCCCTTTTATTTACTTTAGCTGATATACTTCACCTACCAGCCAATGGGTTCAACACATTTGCATATTGACGCAGAAGCACCCACGCACATGCAACATGCTCGGGCATTTCCTTCAGCAGAGGATAATTCAGGGTTCTTACACCTTTTCCAAAGTCAAATTCAAGCACTTTTCAAGCATTTTCAAGGTGCATTTTCAAGCATCTTACAGCTGTTGTAAATTACATATTTATATACACATACTTATACTCAAATGATTATTTCCCTACCTCACATTAAATCAGATGTTCTTTATGCTATAAACAACCAAATGTGTGTTTCATAATAGCATTCTACATGAGGATGAACAATTAAAATGTTAGAAAAGAAAACTAAGTTTAATATTTCAAAATGAGTGACCCATCTGTACGTAGACTGGGCATCCCATATAACCTGGCTGAGCCAATATAAAACAATCAGCCAAATAACTTTTCAATATATTATTGATTACTATTTTTGAGGTACTTTTAGGTTGGCAGTAAACACAAGTCAGAGGTAAATGGTGTACTTTGACTCCACTACATGTATTTAATACCTTTAGTTACTTTACAGATGTGGATGAATGATGTGAAATATAATCAAGTGTTAAATCAGACTTTAGTTCCACCTGGAGTAAATTCACAAGCTACCCTGCAGTATACAAAGTCATTCAAACTAGCTGCAACTTTACCAGCTTTGAGAACACTTTCATGATCAATCATTATAAAACATATCATATACAATTATTAGGGATGCTCCGATCGCCAATTTTGGGGCCGATCGCCGGAATCAGTATCGGCCGATACCGATATCGCTCTCTTTTCCTCTCTCCCCCTCTCTCTCTCCTGACAGCCCGTCAGTATCTCCTGCAGCTCACTGATCCAGTAATGAGCGACCCGACAGTGAAGAATAAATATATTTATAACTAGTTTAGCTTGTTCCAGAGGTAGATAAAATAGCTAAGTGTGTTAGGTCTAACTCTTAATGTGTGTTCTGCTCCGCTCACCGGTCCGTCACAGCGGGTGGAGCTGCAGGATTTCTGCTTCACACACACGTTGCATACCGCTATTTTACTGTCATTTTCGGACACTTAAAATACTGCCAGACTAGTGAAGCCATTTTGGCGAGCTTGTTTTGCCGCGCACAGAGAAAAGTGTCATGTATTTTACATGCAACGATAGCCTAATCTAAAATGTTCTACTACAGCGTACCTTTCGTGTGGTGTGTGGCTCGTCAGCGCAGACTCTCGCATCGTTATTGTTGCACACTTTGCAGGAGGCTACTCTTGGGCTTCGCTTGACCCTCGTCTTAGCCATGGCTTGTATTTGTCTTCTGCTAGCCAACGCTCGTTTGAAACGGCAACCTCCTGGCATACTGTCATCTATCACTCTCATCAGAATGCCCAGGTCACACATGTAACAAAAACACTTGCCGGTCACGCGCATTGCGCGGGAAGGCCGGAGCGGAGCTGTTTTATGTAAAAGCGAAGCAATTAAGCGCGCTCCGACTTCTTTATTTTCTTTTAATCTAAAAAGCGAAGTAAAGCATTTACAATTTCAAGCACTTTATCCCAAATTCAAGCACCATTCCCAAAATTCAAGCACTTTTCAAACCTTGAAAACACCTCGTACAATTTCAAGCATTTTCAAGGATTTTCAGCACCCGTACGCACCCTGATAATAAAACACAGTGAGAAACACTGACCTAGCAGCCATCTTGGTCACAAAATGGAGCAGGGCCTGGAAAAGGAGGGCCACAGAGGAGGAACCCAGCTTCAACACTTCAGTGGTAGCTTCCACGATCATGTTTGTCCAGTCGTTTCCTGGGACACCCGCCTGAAAGGTCATCAAATGGTTAAGAACAATGCGTGGAGCCCGTGACTGTACTCAATATTACATTAACAGTAAGCAAAATGTCAGATAAACAATAATTGCATTTGACTTTGTTGTCCTGTGAGAAGTAGAGTGGAAAGCCCGTCCCTTTCATATAAATGACAAATGCATTTTTTTGCCTGCTGATCCTCTACGTTGTTTCTGACATTGACAGGGATGTCAAAAGGAGCTTCCTCTAGACAGGTGTGTGAATAGTATTATGCAAGTCTTAGGGTCAGCATTGTAAAATAATACTATTCCTTATTGCTTGAACATCACTCCTGGGGCAAAAGACCTTAATCCTTAATCAGTACTAATCTTAACCGTTTGCATAACCCATACATTTCTAAAATGCTCTTATTCATGGCCACAGTATTGCAGGAAAAAGATCTCAGATAGTTGTGCTGTAATAGCTGTACTTGAATCAGAAATCTTTTGGATCTAGATGGATGTAACACATTAGGAACTCACCATCGAGGGTCCCAGGGCCAGCAGGGCTAGTCTCAGCAGAGTGGAAACCTGGCTGCCGTGCAGGCCGAGCTGTGAGGAGATCTGCAGACTCTGCCTGTAGGCCATAACCGCCTGGAGGAGCAGACCCTGGCTACGATACACCTCGGCCAGCCACTGAGACACGGAGAGCAGGGGAGGGGTTTGGAAATCAAGGATGAGTGGGAGTAGATGTGAGAATGTGGGACAAGCGGGAGGAAATAGAAGAGGTAGAGGAAGGAAGAGGAAGGTAAGAGAAGATATTGAAAAGATCAGAAGACCTAAAATTGGTAATTTTTCTTCACTGAAGAGTTTACATATGATAATCACTGAAAAACAATCCTCCGCCTCTTACTTGAAATTGAAACCAAAAAAGGTTTTTACCCGTATATTTAAGGACTTACAGAACACATAATTGCTGAGCATTACATTATATTATTTGTTACATTATTGGTCAGGGCTACATCTGCCAATATATGCATGGCTTTAAAGAGAAATAGCCTAGTGTCTTTGCATCTTCCCCCGGCTGGTAGCATCCACTTGATGTGAGTCATATGACAGATGTGGTCTTCTTAGGTCAGAGCAGAAGCAATAGAAAACGGCTTTTGTGATGAAGAGAAAAATACATCTCATTATTTCGCTGAACTCAACACCCATCATCGCTGACTGAGAATATGTTAAAGCCTGTCTATAGAGTTCACTAGAGCAAGTCTGTGTGAACAGTGTCATATTGTGTTATAAACAACTGGTGCTTGCAATAAAGGAGTATTACATTACATTACATGTCACTTGTTAGACGCTTTTATCCAAAGCGACTTACATACTCAATACTGTGGGCAATCCCCACAGGAGCAATTTGGGGAGAAGTGTCTTGCACAGGGACACAACGACATGCTGACTGCAGTGGGGTTTGAACCTGTGCTCCCCCTGATCCGAACAACAACGCACTAGTCCACTGCGCCACATGCCAAAGCTATCATTAAGTCACTGCGATACAAAGACTGGTCTGATGTGTGTCTACCTACATGCCAGCCCCCAAGGTTTGTGGGGTTCATCATCACTGTGTTGTTTAGTTGCTCCAGCACGGAGTCTGACAGGACAGTACCACCACCGGCCAAAAGGAGACGCTGACACTGCACCTGTCTCAGGGACAGCATCACTGCCGGGTGCTCTGGAGAAACACTCAGCACCTGGGACAAAGAAGGCAGAGCATGAGGGGAAAAAGGCCACAAAAGTCACTTGTATTACTTCATTTTTGACATATTTATTTCAGGAACAAGTCTTATTCTTTAAACATTGAAGTAATTGTAAGGGAAATATTGAGGTTGTGTGTGAAAGGGTGTTTATATGTCACCTGTGTGCAGAGGGCTTCTGCCTGCTCCAGCTGTCCTCCCAGCATGAGGCCAGTCACTGCCTGTTGTAGCACCCAGCCTTCCAGAGTCTGTGCAAGAGGGCGCTCGATCTCCTCCACATTATGCACTGGGAAACAGTAACAAGTCACTTATTCTCTGAAACACATACAAAAAAAAAAATACATTCCATAAAATGCACAAAGCACACACCTTTCTCTGAAACCACTGACATGAGGGTTTGCTCTAGTCCTCGTCTGCAAGGAGCAGAACCTGAAAGGTAACAGGAAGTGTTTTCTGTGTGACAGGCAGCCATTAATCCCGCCCACGTGGCTGGATCATCTGAAATAAAAGAGAAGAGCGGAGGATGAGATCACCGGGGACGTTTCACAGTATTCTTACCAGGTAGGTGTAAGGTGGCTAAACATTCATTGCAAAGGGATAACAAAAAAACAAGCTAATCGTCCCAGACTGCTGCAAAACTTGATTTCCTGTATACATTAACAACACTTGTGTAGATGAAGGTTCTTAAAGTAGTGTGCCATACAACATATTTCACTAGAATTCAACTCAATATTGAAATAATAACAAATGTATTTCCTATTACTGGCTATTATCCTCCCATGACATGTTGTGTGGTTGTTTTCAAGGTAGTTTCAGTGTGTGTGTGTGTGTGTGTGTGTGTGTGTGTGTGTGTGTGTGTGTGTGTGTGTGTGTGTGTGTGTGTGTGTGTGTGTGTGTGTGTGTGTGTGTGTGTGTGTGTGTGTGTGTGTGTGTGTGTGTGTGTGTGTGTGTGTGTGTGTGTGTGTGTGTGTGTGTGTGTTTCTGTGTGTGTGTATACCAGGACAAAGCATCACAGCTCTCTGCATAGTCTTCAGTGCATTCTTGTGTTTGTCCTCTCCAGAGTGTTTCCCATTAGCCAGCTGGTTCACTCCACTGTACAACAACGCTCTCTGCAGGACAAAAAGGGACATCAGATTCCTTTACAAACCACTGTGGCAAGATACCAAAGTCAGTATTGACAGTTTCTTACCATTAAAATGTATTTTGCATGCTGACATATCAACAGTTTTCCATGTAAAATAATTACGCTTACGCAAGTTATAGAAAGACAAAAAAAAAGACTCGGAAATATAAATATATACTCAATATTTTACCTTTCCTAGGGTCATACTGGAGAGACAGGCAACATGACCAGCCATCGCTCCACCCTTGAATACACAGAGGAAAATAACATCACTTTAATTGTCCTAGAGCAAGAGTGGATCAGGTTGTTCAAATAAATGTATGTATATCAAATGTTCCTTACATTTGCCTTCCTTGGGTAGTATTGTGGAACCAGTCTGGACAGCAGGGCCCACAGAGACGGGTTTCCAGGATTGCTGTAAATTACATAAGCTTTGACATTTTCCATCCACAAGGGACCAAAGCTAATAACAGTACATCTCGCGGTACATGCAGCAAACATACGTGTCTCCAAATCTTAAATCTGTCGTGCATTACCTGTGCACAGCTCTGGAAGCCTCTCGTTGCACGGCGCTGTAGTTCCCCTGCAGGGCGAGCAGGGCGCAGGTGAGCAGACACCGCTGCTCGATCACACTCCCAGAGGCGGGGCCCTGCTTCAGCAGCTCCGTCAGGGCAGCAGCACTCAGCGTAGCATCACTTTGGACCAATCCCAGCGCACATAAACACAGCAGAGACTCCGGGATTGGCTCCTTTAGCATCGAGCTGTTTAGGCAGAATGCGTGTGGGGTGTTTACTAGCGTATATGCTTTTGCAGAACAAAACATGGAAATCTCTTACGTTTCTGTTAATCAGAGAACCTATTTCAGACACCTAACCAAGAACACGTTCAAAAAAACATTGACATCGAGACAAGAGAACTGGAAATGGTCAAATGCTAATTGATTTCTGGGTTTTAGGATGTATTCCTGCACAACTCTATCAGTATCACAAAACCCCAGTGGACTCACCATTTAAACAGCAGAGTCTTGGCTGAGTCCAGGTTCCCCAGCCGGTGCTGAAGCAGCGCCAGAGCTGTCAGGATGTACGCCTTCTCCTTCTCACTGGAAGCCACAGCCAAGGCACGTTCATAGGCTACAGAACACACACACAATCATTAAAGTCACAGTCCCTCTGACAGGTAAACACAAACACACTCTCTGATTGTTCAGTCCTCACCGCTGATGCTCTCTGGGATGAGTCCGGCCCTGCAGGAGGACAGAGCCAGACCAGCCAGGTCACTGAGCTCCTGCAGGGGGGTGGAGCTATAAACACGCACCGCCTCCTCCGACTGCCCTGAGGTGCTGCAAGGGACAACAGTGGGACACGCAACATATTGAGTTTGCGGTGTTTTGTAAGTGTTGTCAAAGATGGTTCAAGTACATGGTTAAGCTGTTGTTACCATAATGCACGGCCATAGCTGCCCAGAGCAAAGGCCAGCGCTTCTTCAGAGGACATGGACTGGAGAAGTTCAACAGCTCTGAGGAAAGAGAGTTAGGATTTAGAAAGGTGTTCTGTAAATACATATCGTTTTTTACAGATCAAATAGAGGTACCAGATATTTTCAAAATTAGAATCAGAAATACTTTATTTATCCTGGGGGGATAGTGGGTTTCCTGACATCTGCTCCAATTAAGAATAACATTAAAGTGGACCTATCATGCTATATTTGAATAATATAGTGTAGGACCATACCTATATAAGGCATATTTATACTTTTTTTTTTTCAAAATACCAAACAGATCATGCATTTTAGCCATGCCTCATTTCGCTCAATTTGCACTTTTTTAACTCTGTTTTTGCAAGGGCAGATTATGTGAGAACAGCACCATCTACAGGCCTGGCATATGTACTACAGCGTCTCCAGCGCTTTCGAACGGCAATGGCCGTGGCTGTCTCCTCCTGATTGGTGGAGTTGGCCCAATAGCCGTAGCGCCACCGTCCTGACGTCAGGACAGTGTTCAAATCTGGATCAGTTTTTATCAGATCCGTTGCAGCCCCTTTTTTAGAGATTTGGGTATGGAGGAAAATAGAGAGGGTTGTGTTTTCTGACACTTGGTGAGTTCCCTGGAACACCGGGGACACATATTCATGTATAAAAGACGTACAAAAGTGCATTTTGCATGATAGGTCCCCTTTAAGTAAGAATGTGCCATAAAAGATGAAATAAAATACAAATAATCAACTATTATTGACACATAAGAAGTGCTGCGTTAAAGAGTCTGACGGCCTCAGGCAGGAATGATTTCCTGTTCTGCATCTTAGTGGAATGAGTCTTTCACTGAAGCTACTCCTGTGCCTGACAAGAAGTGTGTGTCCTTCCCTGGTACGCTCGTGCTTCAGTGAGCACTTTCGAGTCTGTGAGTGTGAGAATTCAGACACCTTTTGTAAGCCTGCACGGCCTGCCTCTTCAGCTGCAGATGCTCATTCAGGTAGCCGAGCATAATGAAGGCATCGGGGTCAGACTGGATCCTCTCTGGGAGGGATTCAAGAACGTAATGTTAAACACAATCTGTTTCCAGAACATGACTCAAATAAAACTGAGGGATCAGTGGATCAGATGCTGTACCTGTGTACTTGCTGAGAGCCACCTGAGCAGCAGAGACGGCGTTCATCTGGACTATGTTGTAGCGGTACAGTGTCGAGTCTCTGTTGCTCTTATCCAGCAGAGTGGAACATACCCAGTAGGCATAACCTTTCACTCCCTCCATCTGCCAAAAAAGGACGTAGATTAAGAGGGGAAAAAGCAGAGAAACTTAAGGAATACACGGAGCTTCATTTTGGTATCACCCCTGGTTATTTGCTATTAGAAGCAAAAAGACTTATAGCTGAAAACTTAGTGAGAAAGTTGGAGCAAATATGTAACTGTTATTAGCCAGAGAATGAGGGGGTATCAAGAAGCCCCAGTGATTGTAGAGGGTCACCCACATGAGTGCTGAGTTCAGTGGTGTGTCTGAAGAGATCCATGGTGTCAAAGCTTCCCACTCTCTCTGCTATCAGCGCCTGGTAGGAGATCAAAGAGAAACAACTTATATTTAGACAGATAAACAGGGTCAGAGACAAGAAAGAAAATCATTAGAGTATGATACATATTAGCATACTGATATTATATGTATTTTATTCTAATGAAATCGTTGAATCTATACTTTCATATATAGTGCTATAGTGCTAACTAATAGAATCAAATGACAGTATATTTTAGCCAAGAACAAAGTAGTTCTCCTTCTGCTGAACTTGAAATCCTTTCATTGCTGAATGAAATGATTCATATCTGAATGTTAGAATGAATGCCAAGTGTTCAGTTCCTCGACATGATCCATTAAAGTTGAAAGGATGTCTCTGTACCTGTCCGATCCAGCAGTTGACGTAAAGCGGCTCCAGGGACTGGGCAATCTTGAAGGCCTCGTGAGCAAGCTAAGAAAAACAAGAACAGACTTTAACACAGAAAACCTCCGCCAACTATGATACAAAAAACGCAATGAATGTAAAAGAAAACTGTTCACATACCTCTATATTGTTTTGCTTTAAATACAGGGTGCCAAGGTTGGTCCAAGCAACAACATTCTGTCACAAAATCATAAAAAGTCACATAAAGAACATCAGGATATTTTCTGGGAATACTTTTTCATCATGACCGTAATGAATGTTCACTACATACATTTGGTTCAACTTGAATGGACTTGATGAAGCAGTGTTGAGCCAGAGCGAAGTTCTCAAGACCTGACGAAACAGAAAGTAAGAGACAAGATTGCATAAGTTACTATGACACTTTGTTCTAATACAGACCCATGACTTAAAGGTAGGGTAGGTAAGAATGGAGAAACCGGCTCGAGTGCGCTAGAATTTGAAAGTACACAACCGGAAAAAATCTGCCCCTTCCTTCAGACTTCCTTACAGAGCCCCTCCTCCAACACACACGAACGCACACATGACCAATGAGGGCACGAGATAAGTTTGTGCACGAGATGGAAGGCTGACAGGCAGGTAGGCCATCCAGTTATTTTAGCCGGGCCGGCTCAGATGATTGGTCGTGCTTTTTACAGCGCCACGGCTTCCACAGATGACATTTTTTTTATGTGTTTATTGTCAAAGCATTTAATGTATTCATTGCTATCGGGATGTTAAGAGCATTCCATGGAATATAACAAAAAGTGTTTCTGAAGTGAATTACCTACCCTACCTTTAAGTGTAATAACTTGAGTATTTCCTAATGCAAAATTAAAAACAGTTTATTGAGGCCACCTTTCTACTAAATATATTTTAAGCCAAAACTTTTCACTAATTGATGATTACAGTTATTTGAATCAAGACAATACACCTACTTTATTCAAGGGCAGAGAAATGACAGTAAAACTGCTCGATAAACACATATATATTTCAAAACAATTTTAAAATATGTTTTTTTATCCTCGAAAAACGTTTAAAGGGGACCTATCATGCAAAATGCACTTTTACGTACGTCTTTTATACATGAATATGTGTCCCCGGTGTTCCAGGGAACTCACCAAGTGTCAGAAAACACAACCCTCTCTATTTTCCTCCATACCCAAATCTCTAAAAAAGGGGCTGCAACGGATCTGATAAAAACTGATCCAGATTTGAACACTGTCCTGACGTCAGGACGGTGGCGCTACGGCTATTGGGCCGACTCCACCAATCAGGAGGAGACAGCCACGGCCATTGCCTTTCGAAAGCGCTGGAGACGCTGTAGTACATATGCCAGGCCTGTAGGTGGTGCTGTTCTCACAGAATCAACCCTTGCTAAAACAGATCTACAAAATGTCAAATTGAGCGAAATGAGGCATGGCTAAAATGCATGATCTGTTTGGTATTTTGAAAAAAAAAAAAAGTATAAATATGCCTTATATAGGTATGGTCCTACACTATATTATTCAAATATAGCATGATAGGTCCACTTTAAGCAACTATCCCACACGGAATAAATACATCTAGTTAGCAGAATAAATCAATCTGTCCACCAGTTATGTCACACCTTTATTCTTCATATGAACATGGCAGCATATTATTACCTTTGCTCATGGAAATCACTCCCAGGGCATTCCAGTAGTTATGGTTCCCACTGTCCATCATGATAGCCTTTTTTAAACACTGAAAACAAACCAGAAAAATATCTTAAAAGACCTCCTTTTTGGATTAAACAAATATAAAACTTCCGGACTGTGTGAATCACCTGCTTGGCCTTCTCCAGGAGCAGAGAAGAGGAGTTCTGGTCTTCATCTGAGGGGCAGGTCAGGCTGGACTGGCGGTAATAGTTCAGTCCTAGGTCGTACCAAAGGCTGGGAACCTCAGACATCAGCTTCAAAGCCCGGGCATAACACCTGCAGACAAAGATAATACACTCTGTTCAGTGTTCAGTTCTATGCTTGGCCAAGAGGGGCAGACACAGTACATATGGGGCATACAAAAATAAAATAACGCATTTATAAATGTATGCTTTGATGGAGTAGAGATGGTAAAGGCAGCTTAGAAGACATCAATGCCTATTTGTGGTCTTACCTCTCACCAACTTTGAGTGTCTGGGCCTGGTTCAGTGTGTGGCTCTGGGTGTTGGGGTCTAAACCAGCGAGTGGGCCTGGCATTAAAACCTGAGCTCTGTTTGGCGACACGGTGCTGACTGCGGTGCAAGCATCTCCCAGCAGCTTCCACAGACAGGACAGGTCTGGACGCAGCTCCACAGCTCTGAAATGCAAAATGATAGGTCAATCAAATCAGACAAAGAGTCTGTTTGTTAATGCAATGTAATAAATCACACAGAAAGTCTAACTATATCTTAAAGGTCACCCATTGTGCAAAATCCACTTTTTCATGTCTTTTCTACATCAACATGTGTCCCCTCTGTGTAAAGAGACTCTGACAGTTTCAGGAACAAAGATTCTCTCTCTTTTTGTCCTGATCCATTTATATAAAAACCTGTCTGAAAATGAGCTGATCAGATTTTGGCCACTTTATGATGTCATAACGATGTTTTGGCTTGTGTAACCATTAGCCAATCACCAACCAAGGTAACCCCCCCCCCCCACCTTATCACCTGAATCTCCTCCTAGAGCACCATTGTGTTCTTTTTAACCAAATATCTCTCAGAGGGGCGTGGGGAGGGGCTCCTTATTTTCATCTAAAGTAACAGACAGAGAATCAGTACTTTTGAAACAGGGCTGAAACAGAGGGGATTATGGGATGCTGCAATGATCTGTTTGGTGTTTGGAGCCAAACACTTCAGAGACATGTTTTGTATATATCTGAGACCTATAATATATTGATGAAAAACAGTATAATAGGGGACCTTTAAAATGGACTCATATAACTAATGTCTATTCATTACCTGAAGAGGTTCTGTATGGCTTGCTGAATGAGATCAATGGCCCCCCCGTCTCTACAGTCTTCCATCACAATTTTAGCCAGAGACAGTTGGCACTCCCCAAGACCTGAATATCAGATAATTGAAATATGATTAAATGCCCCGATCCAGAAACATGACTATGCATAACAAACCAAACACCCACCTTTAAGAGCAGGCACATAGTCCTGCTGCGCTGTGATCTGCAGGTACTCTGCGACCGCCTCTCTGAACTTGCCGAGTGTCTGTTTGATAGCAGCGGCCTGGTAGACGCTGTAAATGGAGGCGGGTTGGAGCTGGTGAGCTTTACCGAAGGCCTTCAGAGCGGCTGTGAAGCTGCGGCGGTTCAAATAGGCTTCACCTAAACACTCCCAACACACCCAGTCCTCAGGATCGGCTCTCAGAGCTGCTTGCAGGCTGGAAACATGAATAAAATGCTCAATGATGCTCATATATCTATTATAATGTAGGAAATAATAAAGAACTAACATATTTTACACTCTTTAAACTCTTACTCAGATACAGCTTGTTGATACTCTCCGACCTTCAGGTAGTAAAGCCCTCGTCTCATCCACGCCCATTTAGCCGAGCCTGGAGTGGCTTTCTCAATCACGGACTGAAGGATTGCTAAGGCAGTGTCCTAAAGGATTTGAATTGAAGAGGAAGGGGAGAACAGAAAGGGAGGATAGGGGGGAAATGAGCATAGGCTGTTAAGAAACGCTATAGCATATTTTCTAACCCCATACATGTGTCTGTCCTGCAACAAATCCCCTCACCATGTCGTCCTGCTCCATACTGAGGTCCACTGAGGCGGCTCCAGACTCGGCATCATCCTGGTCCATCTCGAAGGCTTTCTTATAGCAGCCTCGGGCCCGCGCGGGATCCTTTGCCACCTCCCGGTAGTAATGTCCGAGGTAGCGGAAAACACAACCGAGGTTTGGGTCTAACTTTGCAGCCTGAAATGAGGAAATTAAGCTTTCAAAATAAGATGTCATCCAGCACTGCAATTTAATTAAAAAAACTAAATTTGACTGATTCTGCAATTGTGATATGACCTATGATATAAGATGGATTGATCTTTTTTTTTAAAACATTATTCTCATTATCATTGATAAATATATATAATACTTTTTTAAAGGATCTGTTCCAAACATGATTTGTTTATGAAATCTGTAGAATACCATTTGTAGCACTAACATACTTTATTCAGAATTACATTTTCACATATTATGTCTCTACTAGATAGTGTGCTTACTGGGATCTGGATGTTGCACTAGGCCACATCGCAATTTGGATAACATTTTGATTAATTGTGCAGGCCTGCTTCTGACATGTTTATTTGTGCACAAGTTAAGTCCTTAAACAGGTAATCTTCCGTAGACTAGACTATAGTGAAATAGGACTCCCTCGCCAGCAGATAATTACAACTTTTGAATAATAGTTTTACTCACTTTGAGCAAATGTGTGTGTGTTTTGCTCCGGTCTTTACGGGTCTCTTCTCCCATGTCCCAGTAGAGTCGTCCGAGCAAGAAATAATACTCCCCACAGTCTGGGCTCTGGCTCGCTGCCTTTAGGAAACTAAACAACAGAAGAGCAATAGAGAGAACTTCACCAAGGAGAAGAAAACAGTTTTGCACTTGTTTAATTTCACTTGGCTTCAAGAAAGTGGAATGCCACAGATTTAAATCAAATCAAATCAAATCAGGTTTATTTATAAAGCACATTTAAAAGCGATTTTTGGTCGAGCCAAAGTGCTGTACATGTAATAAAAAACACATTACTACAAAACACAATAAACGACAATAAATTACAACAGATATAACTATAACAGATATAAAACACACGGAGAAGTCAGGAGTCATGCTCCGCTCTAATTAGAAGGCCAGAGAGAAGAAGTGTGTTTTTAATGTGGATTTAAAACCCCCTAGGGTCTGGGCCGACCTCACATGGAGGGGCAAAGTGTTCCAGAGCCTAGGGCCAGCTGCTGCGAAGGCTCGGTGCCCTCGGGTTTTTAGCCTGGTCTTGGGCACTACCAGCAGCAGCTGGTCAGCAGACCTTAAAGCTCTGGCTGGGGTGTAGCGCTGGAGGAGTTCAGTTATATAGGCCGGAGCCAGCCCATTTAGGGCTTTAAAAACAAATAAAAGGACTTTAAAATCAATTCTGAACCGAACTGGAAGCCAGTGCAGTGAGGCCAGAATAGGGGTGATGTGGTCGCGCTTTTTGTGACCAGTCAGTAAACGTGCAGCCGCGTTTTGGACTAGCTGTAAGCGTTTGATTGATTTAAAACTCAGATTTAAACAATCTGTTTTCACCTCTCCTCTGCCAGCTGAAGTTTGCCCTGGGCCAAATGTGCCTGTCCTCTCAGAACCAGCGCCTGGGTCAGGTTAGGGTGAGAGTCCACCAGCTCTGAGGACACCTACAACAGACATTATAGTTTCATTTGTATCAATGTGTCTAAAACCATAGATACCTTGTTCCTTTCCTTAAATTGAAAGAAAGGACAACAAGCTGTTACAGTGTTCATTTCTGTTAATTGCCAAATCAACACATAACATATTTTTACAGTAGCAGCATTTTTTCCTATGGTATCCTAAATCCAATGAGTCAGAGTTCAGAAAAAGTTTTGTACCTTGAGTGCTTCGTCAACTTGTCCCTGATAAAGGTATGCATGTCCTCTAAGCGCTACGAGAACAGGGTCTTTTTCAGCATCAGGGATCTAAAAACAACAGACAAAAACAGTATTTGTATGCTGACATTAAGTAGCACTACACATATATATATATATATATATATATATAGTATGACTTATGTTACAACCTCAAAACAGCTTCACCAACACAAATAATAATAAATATAACCGTTTTAACTGCTGCAATGATTACATTCAAAGTATCGTACATACAACAGGCTGGATACATTAATAAAGTTAACCACATCACCTGTGAGAATGTCTCTAAAGCCTGGTCTGCAGCCCCCTCTCCTCCACTCCTGACCAGATTCTCTAGCTTCAGCTTGAGCAGTTTGACCCTCAGCTCTTTGTCTCCAGAAACACACAGCGTCAGTCCTAACAGAAGCAGACACACAGCAAAGTTCAGTATCTAACTCAGGGGAAAACATGCACCTTTAAAGATTGAGGCTAACATCCTTTTTTATTTAAAGAAATTGTATATTTTTACAGTTTTTATAGTATTTCTTTGATTAGCTGGATCAGTGATTGCATCTGGGTAAATCATAGTATTGTATGTAAGCAGACATAACATACCTTGGGTGCATGACATAGCACTGTCTGAGTATCTCTGCATTTTAAACTGCGCCTCGGCCAGACTGCACCATCCTGTGCTGGAGCTCATTTTCTTCAACCCTAATGAAACAGAAGAAACACATACGGTGTACTAAGCACAAACACTTTAAATGACATAAATCAGGGTATATGCAGGAATCCTGAAGTCAAATGTAATGCCTTTTAAGACCTTTTTTAAGACCCTTTCCATACATTTTAAGACCTCATCGCCACTTTGAGTTCTAACCGGTTACATTGGCGACACACTTTACCTCACATTTACTATATAAAGTATTGATTGTCCTTCCTCCTTATCTTCCAACCATTTGGACGCAAACTTGCATTTCCCCATAACGATGTTGTTTAACAACCGGCGTAAACGGACCTTCGCGCGCTATCAAGCAGTGAGCGTGCGATGTCCTGTTCAGATGACGTCAAATCCAACGGGATGCTATAAATAAACTACACAGAATCACACTACACACCTACGCAATGATTACATTCAGGCAGACTGTAGAATACAACCTCTTTGGACAATTTATATACTTATTGCAAACAAGCTACAAAATGTAATACCTTGGAAAATGCCGTTTAATACTTTTTAATACTTTTTAATAGCCTTACATTTCGCTAAATTGATTTATCAACTTTTAATACTTTTTAAGACCCCGCGGACACCCTGTAATTGTAACAAGAGTGCATGTCTCAGTAACAACTGTCCAGATGCCTCTTACAATAAGAAATACATGATTTGTTCACTCACCTTGTGAAAGGTCCCTGATGGCATCTTTAAACCTCCCTTCTTGCAGTGCTTTGGTGCCCAGACCCAGATGACCTATTCCACTGTTAGGGGCCACATCCAGGAGCCGGGAGAAACAGCTGACTGCACCCTCATCCTGAACACCTTCACATTCAAATTGAACATGCAGAAAGAGCAAGACTGAGTGTCACAGCCTCAGGGCATTCTGGGATTACTGATTTGTGTAAGCAAGACAACAGTATGTTACCTGCTTTGAGGTAATGAGAACAAAGCACCTCAAGAGGATAGCTTTGGTTTGGGTAGAGCGAGAGCATGGACTCACATGCCTCTTTCATTTTGGTTTCTTCCTGTGGCATCTACAGGAGGGGAAGATTCATGATGAGCAGCTCATTAAAACATAACTGCAAAGAGCCATGTATGACGTGGACTATTTGATAGACGTGAAAAACATCCTTCATTTTCCGTGTTTCTGACTTGATGAGGTGGACTTACTTTAGAAAGACATTTGACATAGTCAGCTGACATCTTTTTGTGTTCCTCTCCTGGGACGGGATCCATAAGAACCATGGCCTTTTCAAATGCTGTGATTATCTGAAAAGCACAAATAAAACAGTTACATGAAGTTCAGATAGGTTAGAGACATGTGGTTTTTGTGTTAGTCCGGGCTAATAGATTACAGCGGTGGGCTCGTATGTGTTGCAAAGTGTTTATACACAAAAAGAAACATAATATTTGGGGAAATATCTCACATATTGTTGAATTTCATTGTCCTGCTCTTCCCCATTGAGGCAGTCTGAGAGGAGTTTGGTCAGCTGTTGCCATAGCTGCAGTAACTCTTTCTTGTCCACTCCCTCTTCCTCCTTCACTTGAATGAGCTGCAGCTTAACCTTTGCCAACTATATTCAAACATACATATTAATTAAAATCTACGAACGTTTAAAAAAAAAAGAAGAAGGATAATCCATCGTTCCATCCATTGAATGCATGTGTTTTAATATAAAATACCTTTGCATATTCTTTGTCAGACTGATAGATATCGGACAGCTTACTGATGGTCTCGTAACATTTATTTTTGTCAGAGCTGTGAATGGAGAGGATATTTCAAATCAATAACATCACAAATCAAATATGTTGGACTAGTCAAAACTAAAACATGTTGCTAAGAACTCACTGAGGCTAAATCACAACCATCCTTAAGAGGTGTTACCTTGCATACAGCTCAACAAGCTTCTGATAGACGTTAGGTAGCTCCACTTGGAAGTCCCACTGATCCGTCTTCACATAAAGATTTGCCAAGCCCTACAAAACATAGTTCATAATTACTGCACTTGGGGAGCATCAAATACAATAAAAACAACTAAAAATGATCTCAATGTGAGACAAGCAACGTGTTGTATTGGATTTGTTAAACACTACATGTTCCACCCTTACCTGCCATGCCAGCAGCTGCTCAGGCTCCAGCTCCACAGCTTTCTTATAAGCGGTCTGTGACTGATCTGGTTGATCGAGTTCACTAGCTGCCAAGCCGATGAACACCCAGGCATTATAATTGCTCTTCTCAAGTTTCAAAACAGCCTAAATAAGAGAAATAGAAGTCATTTATATAACATCTCTGTGAGAGATGAATTGCCTCAAGACTATCTGTGTCATCACTCCTTGGAACAGGTTAATATCAACAACAACAGCTCATTATACTTCATTTTATCAGTAGTGTGTATCTCAGATACTTTACCTTGCAGTGCTTTAGAGCCTCTTTGAACTCTTTGTTTTTGATGGCGTCTCTGGCACTTTTTAGTGCTGCTTTCACTTCTTTACTAGACATCTTGTCAATATCTAAACGAAGCAAAGAGGGACATATCAAAAACAAAAATGGTCACATCCCAAACATACAAGGCATAGGTATATGAACTTAAAACATACATGTTAAGAGCTAATTAACGCTAACTATTTGGCTTAATAAAAGAGTACTGAGCAGGTGTATCCGACAAAGTAGAAATAGCTGTTTAAACAGTACATAATGTGAACAGTTTATATTAGCATTGTTGGCTAGCTAAATGTAGCATCAGCTGTAAGCTTGTCATAGCCTCTAAACTATTTAACTTTAGTACTATAGAATATGACACAGTTTTAACCCTTCCTTAATATATAAAAGGTTATTGAATTGTTTTGTCAAGCTTTTAGCCACGAAACTATTGCTATTGTGAATACATATTGGGGAACCCACTGTTTACGTTGAAAACTTCCTCTGTTCCTGCAGTTGGCTGACACGGAAGTGAAACAGAATTAGCCACGCCTCCTTTGGATTTTCTAAATAAAATGACGTGCAGCAGTTTGGTCCACACTTAATACATCCATGGGTCTCACTTGAATGTGAGTGCAAATACAAGCAAACAATCAAAACAAAAGTGAACAAAATATTCATTTATTTTGGATAAGGAAATAGCGAAATACTGGGAGGAATTCATTATACTTTATGTGATTGACATGTTATGTTTGATCCCATTGAAAGTCATTGCAAATGATCAGAGATGTTACATAAGTAAAGGTCCAGATTTAGAGTCAGATTAGGAAATTAAATATAGCCTATTCTAGTCTATTCTATTCTAGTCCGGGATGATCCATAATTATAGCATTTACAGTATAAATATAAGAGCAACATATAAACCCATTGGTGGCTCTCACTGTAAAAAATGGTGAGAGGCCAAGTTTAATCAAAGCTTGAGTCCAGCTCATTCAAAAACAAAAACACATCCTAAAGTTAACCATCATTTCAACAAAGCAAAATATCACAAAGAGTCATCGAGCCACTTGTCAATAGCTCTTTCAAAGGCAAACGCATCTTTTTGCCAATCCACATGCCACCTCAGGTTAGCAATGACCTGGCTGTAGTTTGTCCCCACACTATGGCGCCAGGCACCAAATGCTTTTCTATTGTAGAGATGGACATTTTTGGAGACTTCTGGATAGTTCACAATGCCACGCAATAGCTTGTCCAAATGTGCCTGCACATCGGGGAATTTTAGAACAACATTATGAAGTTCATCCTTGTCCAGTGTTACGTCTGCAAAACAAAGAGGATACAGGACACATGGTTTAATGATTGTTCCATTGTTCTTGAAAGCAAATGAGGATTAAGTTATATTAGGTTTCTGAGGTTTACCGAAAAGCTGCGGGGGGACTGTCAGGCCGTCTGCGTAGGCAATATATTTCCACCTGCCACTTCTCAGCATGTATGTCGAGGCATTGACATTACAGCCGTGATATTCACTCAGAACCCAGTCTGGATGTTGCTTCTTGGAAAACACTCTGGCCTTTGATAGCAGAGGAAGGAGGGAGTGGCCACTGAGATGACCTACTGCTGCAACACCAGCAATGTCTGCAAAAACACAAGTGTGATGTATTACGTTTAAATACTAAAATCAAAATATAATAGGGCTTTTATTCTTTTGCTTTTACAGATAGTAGGCAGACAGTTTAGACATTTTAGTCCTATTTTTTCTGTCTACTTCCTTACCCAGCACAGTGGGATATAGATCTACCAAGGACACTAGCTGGTTAACCTGCAGGCCAGACATCAGCCCAGGTCCCATGATCATCAGGGGAACGTGGGAACTGCCCTCAAACATCGACATCTTGTAGAACTGCCGGTGCTCCATGGCCATCTCTCCGTGGTCAGCCGTGAAGATCACCACAGTGTTGTCGAGCAGGCCAGTCTCTCTCAGAGCTGAAATCACCTGACCTGGTGGGGTGAGGAAGCGTGGACAAAATGGCAGATAACTCAATATCAATATCTCTTACATATCATTGTGCATTTATTTATTCATGGAAGTTTTACTGAGAGTAATTAAAGTTAAAGTGGCCATATGTTCTTACAGGCTGCAGCGAAGAAAAAGCTATACTGCTTCAAATATTCTGAATAATTTACATTTTATAGATTTCAATTTAAAGTTACGCTAGACCTTGTTTTATAGCTGGCTTTGATGGAAAAACACTGTCACTCTCTAACACTACTTCACTTAACTACTTTTGGTATTTTGTCCACATTGAGATACAGTAAGAGTAAGACTGCTCTTGCAGGTTTGGGGCTGCCCACATTAGTTATCTTTGCAACAGAGTTCGGTTTGAATTCAAGTAATCTATTACGGCGTGCAAAAGACTATGGTAGCGCCTTAAGTTGGATATGAAAACCCAGTACCTCCTGCTTTAAGAGTCTGTCCCCTGGTGAATTACTTCTGTTAACTAACCCAGCATGGCATCAGCTTCAGCACACATGGCATAATAGAAGGCTCTTATGCTTTTGATTTCCTCCACAGTGAAAACACCGCTGCAGTTTTTGGTGAAGGTGGAGTAGAAGTCGACGGGGTGCATGGCATCAACAGGAAGCCATTTAGGAACAGTGATGAGCTCTGAAGACACCTGTGTGGAAGAACAATTGTTTATGGTGATTTATATAAAAAACATACACTATTGTTTTTGCAATAATGAGGATTTTTTTTTTTAAAGAAACAGGGAATGAAAATGCCTTTTTCAGCCAGTAGGGTGAAGTGAGGAAAGTGGATCCTCCTGCAGTGGGTCCCAGGGATTCCGTTTTATAGGGGTGAGGTAAATTGAGGCCGAGATAAAGAGCGAAGGGCTGGTGTGAGGACGCAGCTCTCTGGTGGATCCACTGTGCAGCCTTGTCTGTGTTTTCCCAGTCTTTTCTCATGATCCTCACTGTGGACATGTTCCCAACAAGTTGTGTAACAGGCCGGCCCTCTTGGCGCAGGAGGAACTGAACATCCCGTGTCCAGGCCTCAACTCGATTACTGCAGAAATTACACAATTACACAAGAAGATGCAGGTCTAGACACAAAAAAAGGAAATGGAAAGACGAAAGAAGCATCCAAGAAGATGATTCACACTGTTCTGAAGAATAGGTGCTCACATAGGCAAGGCAAGGCAAGGCAAGGCAAGGCAAGTTTATTTATATAGCACCTTTCAACACAAGGCAATTCAAAGTGCTTTACAAAAATGGAAGACATTAAGAAAATGGCATTTAAAATCAGTCATTAAAAAGAAAAGATAATAAAATAAACATTAAAAGAAAAAATACATGGATAAAAGTTACAGTGCAGTTTAAGATGTGAATAGTTCAATTAAAAGCAGCGGCAAAAAGAAAAGTCTTCAGCCTGGATTTAAAAGTAGTAAGAGTTGCAGCAGACCTGCAGGTTTCTGGGAGTTTGTTCCAGATATTTGGAGCATAATAACTGAACGCTGCTTTACCATGTTTAGTTCTGACTCTGGGGACAGAAAGCTGACCAGTCCCTGAAGACCTGAGAGTTCTGGATGGTTCATAATTTAGCAGTAGGTCAGACATGTATTTTGGGCCTAAACCATTCAAAGCTTTATAAACCAGCCACAATATTTTGAAATCTATTCTTTGACACACAGGAAGCCAGTGTAAAGACTTCAGAACAGGAGTGATGTGATCCACTTTCTTAGTGTTAGTGAGGACTCGAGCAGCAGCGTTCTGAATCAGCTGCAGCTTTCTAATAGATTTTTTAGTGAGACCTGTGAAGACACTATTGCAGTAGTCGAGTCTACTGAAGATAAAAGCATGGACAAGTTTTTCCAAATCCTGCTGTGACATTAGTCTTTTAATCCTAGGTATGTTCTTTAGGTGATAGTAGGCTGATTTAGTAACTGTTTTAATGTGACTGTTGTCACAGTATACTATTACTAATTCACTCAAGCAGTGAGTCTCTAACACTTCTTCTGTGTCTAAGGGCTTGTATGTTTTATTATTGATACAAATAACTGCAACTTTGGACACTATTTGTAGATCGGACTATTATGGTGTATTCTAACTTATTCTGTGTATTCCATATATTATGTATTCTTTAGATATTCTATTTATCTTGTACTTATTATATAGCGAATACTGTCGATGTGTATTTATTTACTTTTTGTTTTATTTTATTATATTTTCAACTCATGTATAATGCCTGTTAACATGCTGCAGTGACAACAACAATTTGGGATCAATAAAGTATATATAATTTAATCTAATCTATTAAGTGCAGGTTTTCTTATCTGACACATCTCATACAATTATCTTAAATACAGTTGCTCTGCCTACCTGACAGAATGACTCCCTGAGGTGTAGTCCAGCTTTCCCATCGACTTGGTCACATATCCATTCTCCTCCAGCAAGTCCATCCATGTTGTTGCATTAGCATCGAGGCATTTGTAGTTGTTCCAAGACTGAGTGAGGTGAACAAACTGACCGCTCCACATCGCTGGGGAACAAATATGATAAAAGGTGAAATACATTCATGATTCCACCTTTATTAAATGACTATGATATGTTTGTCCCCAGTGTCTTTGGGTACCTTACCTGCTCTTGAGGGGCAGCAGATGGGGGAGTTGGTGTAAGCATTGAGGAATGTGGTACCAAGCTCCCTGAGGTAGTTTACATACGGCAGCTTCACAACTTTGCTGCCAGGGTCAAAGGTCAATCGCCCATCCTGCAATAAGAGGAAACATTGAGGCACAAACAAATCTTGGGGAAAGCCTCTGTATGGTGTTTAATCTTGAACTATAAGACTGTCCTCTCATAGAGATTTAGCATAAAACAGATGAATTAAAGGCTACTGTGTTTGTGGCAGTTACTAGACATGAGTAAAGCACTGTTCTCTGACTTAATTCATACTTACAAATGCATCACTCATCACCATCACAATGTTGGGTCTGGTTCCATTTCGGCAAAAACTTTGACCATAAATTTGAAACAGGAATATCAAAAACAACACTTCTTTCTTCATGCTTCACCTGCTCCAAAACTGCTAGTTTGCTATCGTTAAAGAAGAGATGTGTCTGGAGTTGATGATGTATAAAAGTGTTCCTCTTTGACAGCAAACGGGAACTTTTCAGGTCTGAGGGACTTGATATAAACTTCCCGGTTACGCTTTCAAAATAAGAGCTTTCTTTTCCAATTTCAAATGAACACTACTAACGTGTAATGATACATTTTAAACTCTAGAGGGCGACATTCATCTGTTTATCAAAACCTCTGTGGTACACAATTTTGTTGAGCTGGCACTACTGACGCATTACAGTGTCACAGATGTACAGTATGTCAATGTGTTTATGTCTGCATATATAATTAGCCAATACATGGGGAAATCAAATAGAATCACGTGACTTCTATTGTATTTTTTTTTTAATTATCAGAGAATTGCATTAAATAATATTTACAATTCTAATTAGATTTTTTT